AGTTCCGTGCCAGCGAACAGACAACGGTGACCGTCTCCTACAGTTCTGTTCAGATAATCATTTAATTCTTGTAAGCACTAACTTCAAACACAAGGAGAGACACTGTTTGACCTGGCGACCCCCATAATAAAACCAACGCTGGACACAAATAGACCACAAAGCAATAAGTTATCGTTGGCGTGGGTCGGTAGGAGATTATCGCTCCTTCTGGAACACGTGTGTAGATACCGATACTTACTTTACTTCGGCTATCTCCTACGGAAGGATGAGCCGGCTTCATGAACATCTAAGAGAGTTCATGAAGTTTCATGGGAATTTGGTACGAGTGATGTCCCCAGAATCGCTCGGCCTTTTCTTTGAGAGTGCAGCTCTAGCCTTTGCACAACCAAGTGTGACCTACAAGGCAGTAGGAGTGGAATAGGGAGTCCACTATCCATTGGCAGCCGGTGACCGGAGTTCGGTTCATACGCCTTTTTGAATGGAGCCAGACATCCAGGACATCCAACAAGCCCTTTGTCCATACGTCTGTCGGTGAGCTCCAGTGAGCTTCATACGCCAGTCGTTGGAGGTTTGGAATCAGGGTTTAGCCATCTCCCCTAGACTGTCATCCAATGGGCAGTCAACCCGGTGAAGAGCGCCGGGCATCCGCTTTCGCCCTCTCACTTTGGTGAAAAACACCTCCGCCACGTGAAGGCAGTGAGTAGGACTTCCTCAGGAGAGGCTATGTAAGACGCCCGGTCATATGGGGGGGAGCATTTCAAGAGGTATGCGGAGGGGTGGCCAACCCGCAGCGCAAGGCACCCACCCCCGACCATCCTGAGGCTTTTGAGATACCGATCACGCACTGGCCCGCGCTCGTGTGTGCTTACGACTGAACGGACGTAGGAAACAGCTGGCAGTAAACCCATCACGTCCCCAGCTCGATCAGGAAACTAAGTCCCTATTTGAGGAAGAACTAGCTAAACACATATCTGAGTTCGACAGCTGTGCTCACCCTGAAGAAGCCTGGAAGAATATTCAGTCAGCCATAGATACAGCTGTAAAAGCTGTGAATAAGGTAAATCCAAAGGTGAGTAAAAACCATTGGATTTCGACTGCCTCATTCGAACTGATAGATGCTAGAAGACTTATTCCGGTGAGCTCCGAATTCAATGAGGAGCGAAAGCTGCACAAAAGGAAACTTACGAAAAGTCTCCACAAGGACCGTGAACAGTGGTGGGTGACAAAGGCGAAAGAGATGGAAAGAGCATCGGCGATAGGCAACACTAAGCAACTCTTTAGACTCATCAGGGAAACGGGTGGGAGAAGGCAAATCATAAGTGAGACTATTTCTGAGAAAAATGGCTCCTTAATTAGCTCTTAGGATAGACGCCTTGAACGCTGGAAAGAACACTTTGAGGAACAATTTAACTTGCATACAGCCACACTGAACCTCTCCGCCATCCAGCACATACCCGAATGGGATATAGACACTGGCCCGCCGTCTGTAAGTGAGGTCACAAAAGCTATCCGTAATTTGAAACGAGGCAAAGCGGCAGGACCCGACGGATTTATTCCGGAGGTGTTTAAATATCGGGGTGACATACTAATATGCAGATTAACTAAGGTACTACGTAACGTCTGGGAATCAGAGACGGTTCCATCAGACTGGGGTAAGTCACTTATTATACCGATATTCAAGAAGGGAGACAAGTCCTCATGTGATAATCATAGGGGGATCAGCCTAACGAACATAGTTTCTAAAATCCTAGGCTCAGTAATCATGCACAGACTAAGCAGAACTCGGGAAGAACAAACGAGGGAATATCAAGCAGGCTTTAGGCCAGGTAGAGGGTGCATAGATCATATCTTCACTCTCCGACAGATCCTAGAACATAGACACACTTTTCGGCGTCCAACAATTGCCATATTTCTTGACTTGAAGGCGGCCTTCGACTCCGTGGATCGAAAGGTACTATGGCAATGTTTGACTGTGAAGGGAGTGCCAAGAAAGTACATTGCACTAATCAAGGCACTCTACTCAAACTCACGTAGTCGTGTTAGGGCTTATGGGGAATTGTCATCTGAATTGATAACAACCAGTGGTGTCCGTCAGGGACGTCCACTTTCCCCATTTCTGTTTAACTTCATCATAGATATGCCAATGGAAGTATCCTTAACTGAACTTAACGACTTAGGAATCGACTTGTTACCAGGGAATCGTCTTATGGACTTAGAATATGCAGATGACATAATCCTATTAGGGGAGGATGCTGACAAAATGCAGAGTCTTCTGAGCACCTTGAGCAGCAATCTTCGTATGTTTGGCTTGCGATTCGCCCCTGTAAAATGTAAGATGCTGCTACAGGACTGGACTACGTCAACTCCTAACTTAGTGATAGGGAGTGAAGTGATAGAACATGTTGACCACTTCACCTATTTGGGAAGTTGTATCAGCACCAACGGACTGACTGGTGACGAAATCTCAGCACGGATCCAAAAAGCGTGACATCCGGCTATCAACCAAGGGACGTGTGCACTGCTCAGTAGTTCACCCCGTCCTTCTCTATGGCTCTGAAACATGACCAATACGAGTTGAAGACATGAAAAGGTTGTCTGTTTTTGATCATAGATGTCTACGATCTCTTTCTCACGTTAGGTGGTATTATAGGGTAAGTAATGGGCAAAGACGGAAAATCAATCGACGAGGCTATAAAGTTACTTAGATTGAGATGACTAGGTCACGTGCTGCGCACGCCTAACCATCGCCTCCCCCGACGGGCATTACTAGCCGATATAGGTGCAGGTTGGAAAAGAGTAAGTGGTGGCCAAACAAAAACATGGCATCAATCCATGAAATCCTTGACAGCTAAACTAAGTCAGGTAGGGAGATACAGACTTCCGGGTTGGGGCCCTCGGGACTGTAAGAATCAATGGCTGGAGACAATAGGTGACATGGCTCAAAATCGTTGTCAATGGCGTAGATGTATTCAGTCTCTGTAATCTTTCATATTCTTCTCTACCATTACTCACTCTGTCTCACTCTTATACTTGTCAAAACTCTATTGATTCTTGTCTACCTTTGTGTGCTATTTGGAACGTGTCAACTCGAACTGCTGCACTTCGGTGCCAAGTTCTATGTTGAATCCAGACAGACAGACAATTTTCTTCCAATCTAATCCTATATCCTAACCATTTAGATCGATTTACGTTGAAAACTGTATCGATTGACTTGCCCTCCATGTCCAAAACTCTACACCTAATCCCAATTTTACTCACTGTATTATACCACTTAACTCTGTAGACACAACGCAAACATCTGTGGTCTCATTGCCTATGCCTTACACCCATAAAGAAACATTGAGCGAACTGCTTTGTTCTTTGATCGGTGGCTGGATATTACCCCTACGCCAGAGATGACATAAGTTGGCAAATGCCGCGCGAGCGTTCTGTATCCCTGCGAAAATTTCCTTTACTTATGCAACTGCCGGAATGAGTGAAGTGGTCAACATGCTTAACAACTACCTCAGTCCTTATCTTTAAACTGAGAGTTAATGCAGACCAGTCCTGTATTCTTGGCAGCAGGGAATGGGTGTCAAACATGTCGACTCAAGTTGTTCAGAAGACTGCATTTGTTCATCATCTTCAGTTTGAGGGGCTGTATTATCCGCCTACTCTAACTCGACGTAATTACCCCGGTAACAAACCGGTCCCTAAATCGCTAAAGTCGATTAGGACCCATGACGAACATATGCAATTTATGTTGGCCTACTTTATCCCATTAGTTGATGATTTTACGCATAAACTAAGAACACCCGGAAATCGCCCCGTTATAACCAAGGAAACGTTTATGTCTATCAGACTTCTATTCGGTTGGAGAGTGTTCCCACAAAAATGATAAGGCAAATGCTAATAACATGCGCTTATAACCGTACTGGCGGGTACAAAAGGTTAAATTAGGGAAATTGAAAAATCTGAAGTGCTTATCAGTGCTGTACATAAGCTTAAGAATCCTTGTGTACTATAGAGTGTAAGCCTCTTTTAATCACTAGCAACTTTGCGAATGTCTCTTTTTTCTTGGAGATTTAAAGTTGATAATAAAGATAAATGCAAATGATATAATCGAGAAGAAGAAATTGAGATACAAAAAACTCAGTGACACGAGAGAGCCCCCTGGTTTTCCAAGGAACATTAATTCGTCACAAAAGTAGTAAAACGACAGTCACAGGATTTTAAAGTTATGATTGTAACCAAATTTGTATTGTAAGCTGCGTAACCATTTATTCAGATTGCTATAATTATATTATTATTATTATTATAAATTTTATTTGCATGTGAACTGCAATCTGTTGTAACCTCAAAGTCCATGCATGATTCATGCTTTAGTGTGTGCCAGATTTCTCTTGCGATTCAGTGATAATCACAATCCTTGTCCTAAACAGCTTGATGTATGCAAAATGGTTCTGCTTACTATATCAAGCCAATTTAGGTTCAGTGCTAGCTAGCTACTGATTTTCCAGAGAGTATATTGACAAATTGTTGGACGTACAAGATAATAGCATGATAATAGCAAGCAAAGTTGCTTGACTATTAGGAGAACGTTATGCTGAAAACCAATGAATGGGTTTCTGGCAGTTCCTTGCAACTTCTTAAGGTCCTTTAGTCCGTTCCAGTAGATATAGTGAGTGTCTTGCGCATAAAATTAAACAGGAGTGTTGGTGGTTAGTTTTGAACACCTGCATGTGAGATGAAAGCAGCAGCTGCTGCTGCATTTGGCAAACTCGCAACTTATCTGAATATTCAATATCAAGAAGCATGATATCAGCCAAACAACCTGTAAAGCAAAAAGCATTGTAGTTGATATTCAATGGAGCCTAGAAGCTAGGCAAGGCAAGGCAAAGAACTTTTAAAAATCTAGCTTTAACAAAACACCACTGTTTTTTTTTTGTATTCACATATTCACATTTATGTAGCTGTCATATGTAGAGACGGATTAATAGCTCATTATTTCTTTTTGATAGTCGTCTGACTGGGCTGTATCTAAAAGGCCATTTACTGCACACACAAATTCTGTTGAGGATATTCAGTGGTCTCCTACAGAGCCAACTGTGTTTATCTCTGTTTCTTCTGATCGCAGTATACGTGTTTGGGATGTTCGCGTTCCACAGTGTAATGGAAGTGTGCTTTCTGTTCCTGAAGCGCATTCCGCTGATATAAATGTTGCTTCTTGGAGTCACCTGAAACCTATTAATTTACTAACTGGAGGAGACGATGGCACTTTAAAGATATGGGATTTGCGATTAATTCATTCCAACGGCCCTCAGAAGTCAAAAGGTTCATCGATTCGTGCTTATACGCATTTATTTGATGTAAGTTTTAAAACTAAAAAAGCTGTTTTATGGAGACAGGTAAATCTAAATTGATGTACATTAAAATCGTAGTGTATGGTAAGTGTAAGAAAGTTAACAACTGTACACTGGCATTCTAATCCAGTAACTAGATGATGAGAAGATAACTCTGAGTTCAGTCTCGTGTATGTTTGTATGTTTTGAATTGTCGGAAGCTATCAAGTTGTTTAGTGATGTTTTGTTTCTGGCGGTTACTCTTGATCTGGATTAGTCTGGCATTTGTTATATCAAATTAACTGTCGAGTTGAAAAAATGAATGTCAACTGTGTTATCAAATAAATAACTTAAGTTCAACCTATAACTTAGATCACAGTCCAGTAGTCTAATAGTCATGCTGTCATCTTGTGAAGTGTAAAAGTAGAATATTACCTCAATTTAGGCATGCAAAATTTACTTCTGCTTTATAAGCAAGAGATATAGTTGATATATGTACGTCGGTGGCACAGCGGTTAGGACGGTCGCTGACCATGCACATGGTCCGGGGTTCGATCGATCCCCTGCCGACGCACACCTGATATCAATGGTCGGCCTGCTAAATTTGGGCTACCGATATCGCATGCTGAAAATTCCATACATGTATCAAAAATACTGTGTAGAATCAAGCTAAAATAAACATTAGAAATAAATATACTTGTAAAATTCATAGTGTGAAAGAGAAATTATTATAGAATTTTTACAGGTAATTGGGTTGTAAGCACTAACTAAAGTCGATGTATAAAATAATACATTCTGTACAATTACAGATAGAGTAGAGTAGCAAATACGCATGTCAACTAGTACAATGCCTGTATAATTTGTTGCCAAATATTATTTTTGTGACATTATGTTAATATAAAACTGGCTATAAACAATCATTCAGATGGATTTTGAGACCAACTAATTTCAAATATGATGCACTAAGTTTTGAAGTTTACAACAAATAAATAGTATAAACAATATTTATAGCATTGTCGTTCGCTTAGAGAAGTTGTAGGTTGCGATTCAACGAATCCTGTGTATTTGTTCTCATGTCCATTTATTTCAACTTGAGAAATTATAGTTAGCGCTTAATCCACTATCTTAGTTGCAATATGTTGCAGTATTTCTGTGTATCAGTTAGTGTCTAGCGTGTGTTTTAGGAAAAAATGTGAAGTAATGCAGTACAGATGTTGAACTCCCTAGGATGTGATGTACACACGGAATATTTGTTAGTGAATGTAATAGGAGTTTATGACAAATAAAAACGTCTAAGGAGTTTTAAACTTTGTCATATTAATATTCACTTTATTATTATTCCTTTACAGTATCATAAGAAACCGATAACATCTGTGGAATGGCATCCGAATGATGCTGGTGTTTTCGTGGCTACATGTGAAGACGATCAAGCTAGTTTTTGGGATATCACATTAGAGCAATCTGAACAAGACGTGAAGCAGTCGACTAGTGAATCAGGTACAAGTCATGAAACAACGGGTGGAGATGATTTAGATATACCTGTTCAACTGTTATTCATTCACAGTGGACAAAAAGAGTTAAAAGAAGCACACTGGCATCCACAAATACCAGGTCTGGTATTTACAACATCCCTAGATGGCTATAATGTCTTTCGTACTTGTAACATATGAAATTTTTGCCTTACTAATGTCTAAATATATTGTTCTTCTTTCTTTGATCATTCGGTTTTTGTATACTAGTCCTTTTAGGCCTAACTGACACTGCTGTCATATGCTGTATACATGACCGATGGTAGTGAACTTTGGTAAGCTTACTTTCTAATTGTGTGGTAGTGACTCAACCAGAATATTTTCCCAGGTATGTGTTGCACAAAAAGGCACCAACCGTTTGAAGAGTTTTACATTGCTTTAATTTTATAGTGTCTAGTGAAACACACACTTAAGATATTTATGCAGTTATCATAGTCACAGAAATGTATAACACACACACACTTTTAAACTGATATCACCCACCACATCATCACACATTGATAAATGATAAACTGGTATCAAGTTCATGTGAAGTAAGAATACTTTCCGATGAAATCCCAAGAGAAATTACTTCATTTTACTAGTTGGACAAGTTGTCTTAAACCATCTATCTACCTATAGTTTCTTCATAATATAATAGCAAAGAAGTTTCATTTTATTATAGACTTTTGTAACTATGCAGAAAGAAAACCTCCTTCGTTAACACAGTATGTGAATATTATTTTTTTTGTTTAAAGGCGTGGATTATTATTATTATTGTTCCCTTGGGTTCGTAGTGGAACATAGGGCTTCAACTGCACGCCTCCACTTGCTTCTGTCTTCTGCTGTATTTTTCACTTGCATCCATGTTAATCCATACTGTTTCAGTTCCTCTTCACACGATCTCCTCCATGTCACCCTTGGACGTCCCACTCGCCGCTTCCCTTTCGGGTTCCACTCGAGGGCCTGACGCGCGATGTCACCCAACGGCCTCCTCAGCGAGTGTCCAATCCATCTCCACTTTCTCCTGCATATCTGTTGAGTGATTGGTTCTTGTTTTGTTTGTTCACATAGCTTCTTGTTTGTGATTCTTTCCAGCCATCTGATCTTGAATATAGAACGAAGACAGCTGTTGATAAAGGTCTGCAACAGGCTGTTGGAAATATTCTTGGTGACCCGCCAAGTTTCTGATCCGTATAGAAGAAGTGACTGACTTGACGTTTGTATTGAAAATCCGAATTTTGTTGTTGATGGTGAGTGACGAAGATTTCCAGATTGGTTTCAGGTTGATGAATGTGTTTCTCGCCTTCCCGATTCTCGATTTGACATCCTCGTCCGTTTCTCCTGTAGTTGAGACAATGCTCCCTAGATAAGTGAATGAAGTAACCTCTTTCAAATCCCTCCCGTTGATGGTCATTGGAGCTAGATGTTGCTGCTGTTGTTGTTGTTGGTTGGTTATTTTCATAACCTCCGTCTTGTCTATGTACACCTGCAGTCCTGTCTTTACTGCTTCTTCGACCAGTTTGTCGGTTTTTGCTTGTAAGTCATCGATCTTGTGTGACATCAAACATAAATCATCCGCGAAATCCAGGACTTCAAAGTTCTTCACTTCGGTCCAGGATATCCCTGTCTTCTCGTTTCCCACTGTCTGATGCATAATCCAGTCCACCAAAATTAGGAAAATCATTGGTGATAATAAGCACCCATGTCTAACTCCTTAAAGGCGTGGAATTGAATGCGTATTACTAAGATGAACCCACTGTGTCTCATATGCTGAAACCGACTTTCGTTCGGTAGACTATTCGTCTGGCTTTATCAATTCTGGAAGCTGCTTGATTCTACGCTATTTGCGAGAGAGAGAGAGTCAGTCAATTGTCAAACGATACAAAAGGTTGTCAGTAATGCAAGTGATACGAATGTATTACAACTGAATACACATATTTGATACAGCACACAGTGATGTATGCAACTTTCATCATCTAGCTTCAGCAGTTGTGTTGTTTTGTATTCAGCATTGGTAAATAAGACTATATATTCAGTAGAGATGTTGAGTCGAGTCAATTCGATTGAGTTTGTAAGTAGTTGATTCGATAAGCACCTAATAATAGTCAACCCTTCTTATTAGTCTTGTCATAACGATCTGTAGGATTTTCGCGTACAACAACGCCAAGAAACGGAAAACGTTATTTACTTTGGCCATTAGATTCACGCAGAGGTGAAGTTTGTCGGTTTAATGATCTTACTGACAAAACTATTCAGCTTCTGAAGAAATATTTTTTTAACGTAAGTACACCAGTTACACTGACTATTAAGAGGTGACGATATTCGTGGTGTTTCGTTTGTGTAATAAAGTCTTGCCAGCGACTACAAACAACTGTAGAGTAAACTGAAGTGTTCAAGTTTTGAGTCTGATGTCATAAAAAACCCGTGCTTCCTAGAATAGTAGATAGGCCAGACATTTGAAAGAGACACCTTACTGCTGCCACACACCAATGCCCACGGGAAAATTATAGAGCCATGAAATCTTGTCCATCGCATTGATATAGCACCTATCAGACGGGGGAGTAAATCTTCGTTGTTATTATGGTTCGCAAATTATTAGACAGATGATTGGTTTCAGAAACACCCTAGCATATGAGTTAGCCAATTTTTCTTATCGTCTACACTAAGTTATTTCTAACCAGTTTCTATTACTTTGAACCAAGACTCGACCACCTGCTAATAAAAATAAAAAGGGATGGTTACAAATTAATAAGTCTCCATACTACTACACTGATGTGATTCCGCATACTGTTGGGAATATGTTCAATATTAACTCAGGGGTGAGCCTTGTTTTCTCATCTCAGTATACTTGCATAGGTAGAACAGAGGCTGTCAGTTGGATTTCCTCAGGTAGCTGCTTTTGTATTACTTACCTAGAAGAATGCTGTGATCATATCAGGTGTCACTTTTGGCTGTTTCAAAGTTTTCAAAATCATTTTTTTTGCACAGTTGGAATATTTATTGTGGCGATTGCTAAATTATGTGTGAAAGAAAATACCTCGCGATAGCTTTCATCTTCAACTCAATTCAGAGCTAATATGCAAGTTGAACAGACCAACTAAACGTGACCTCTAGTTTTCAATTTTTAAGACAAAATATAAACAAATAGGAGTCGTAATGAGACAGTTGATACCATTGATCACAGCAGACATATTCATGAACAATGGGTAACGTATAACCTTGACGAAATCTAATTGTACTATAAAGGTATAGCAGAGATATTTAGATAACACACTCACCTTTTTAAATGCAGAGTACACCAGCGATTTTTTATGCAAAATAATTATTTGGTTTGGAATAAAGCCAGGGTTAGACTGTAGGAAAAAAATAAAATAATTTTCCATAGGAACCTAACAGTTATCTGCGTTTAGTTCAATAGAGTTTGATATGTTTAAATGATCAAACTTGCACTCCACCTAGTAGATCAAAGAATCTGATTAAGAAGATGTAGCATAAAGGGGATTCTCCTATACGAAAACTGTGCTCGAGAATTCGCTTAAAAATCACTAAGAGCGTAGAAAGGAAGGGTGATAACGTTAATGACCATCATACTACTGCTAAAAAATTTTGAGCTCCTACAGTTTTATCATACAGTAAAGTACTACCTACAATTCTTATTCAACTGGAGATTGCAGTGACAAATTCACTCATGGATGGAACCTCCTTGTAAGTGTGTAAGTAATGCTGCGACCTGTGTTCGATACGAAATACAATAGCTAACTCAACCGAATACTTCCTGAGCCCACGGAAAACAGTAGAAGATAAAGCTGGTCTGAGCTGGCGAGAACAATTAATTTATTAGGAATAATTATGTTATAAATATACGTTACCAAAACTCAGAAAGTTAAGCCAGTTGAATAACTAATTTGATTATTTGTATAAGATGGTCAGTCTTCAAAGGCTGTCTAATCAAATTTGGTTAAAGCCAGCTGTTTCAGCAGCCAGACATTCTTGTCTGCAAAATTAGGGGTATATATCTGGTAGTAATAGCTCAGTGTGATGTAATACTTCAATTTAAGAGATACTATAAAGTTAGACCAAGTATATGTCGAAGCAGCTAATCGGCGTTACTTAGGTTAACGGAATAATAGATTCTAATAAGTAACGGGTAAACTATTAATGCTATGTACGCACTGTCATACAGTCACACCATCTACATCCATAAGGATCATTATGGTTGAGAGGGAAAAGGATAGATTATTGAATGTTCATCCATTGGATCAGCGATTTATGCACCCAATAGGAATCACGTAACGCCTATTCTAAACAAGTAAATTATACTATACTGAAATTAAACAATACATAGTAATGAAACTGTAAAAACCAAGTGTTGATAGATTCTTAGTTACGTCCTATACCTCACCACTTTGCTCTTCACCGAGTTAAAAGTTGACTGACTGGTTTCAACATAGAACTTTGCACCGATGTGCAGCAGTTCAAGTCACCACACTCCATGTTGCACACAAAGCAAGAGAAGAAATGTAAAATAGAGACAGTAAACAGGGATATGAGACAAAAGCAATAGTAATAACGAAGAGTAATATAGTTTCATTGGGTATTATAAGTCACAAGGAGTGGATGCATCCGCGCAATCATCGAGAACGATTTTGGGCCATATCATCAATTGTCTCCAGCCATTGGCTTTTACCATCCCGAGGACCCCAACCAGGAAGTCTACACCTTCCTACGTGACTGGCTTAAACTAACTGTTGTGGATTTCATTGACTGATGAAGCCATGTTTTGGTTTGACCACCACTCTGTCTCTCTATTTTCCAACCTGACCCTATGTCAGCTAACATTGCCCGTCGAGGAAGGCGATGGCTAGGCAAGCACGCGTAAAACATGTCCTAACCATCTCAGTCGTTGTAACTTCACAGCCTAGTCGATTGATTTCCCCTCCTTACCTAGCACTCGACCGATGCCTCACCTCAATATTGCTCACCCGATTATACCACGTAACACGGGAGATAGAACGCAGGCACCTATGATCAAAGACAGCTAGTCTTTTCATGTCTTTCACTCTCAATGGCCAGGTCTCACAGCTAGCCATAAAGGAGGACGGAGCAGACTGCTGAGCAGTACACACATCCTTTATTCGATAGTCGGATATCATGTCTACGCCAGAGACGGCGTAAATTGGCATATGCGAGTTAAAAGTTAATACGAAATCATAGTGAGGAAGCTTTTCTCTCACACCCAGCCACTGTAGTTTAGCATTTTCTTCACAATTAATGTTTCAAACTATATTAACATAGGAAAGAGATGCATCCATCGTAGGGTTGTTGAACTCTTCCAGATTTACTAATAATTACTACAATATCTTAGGTCTTGACTTTTAGGTGAATTATATATATTTTTTTTTGAAATGCACGTGATCAGCGCTGTCATTTCTCGCGAGATTAAGCAGTAAATATAGCAATCACAATGACAGAAACAACAAAATATATTACCAAAAGACAAGAGGAACAGACAGTTTCGGCAGATAAAATGAATTGAACAGGAAAATAAAGCCATTTGTTTATAATCACAGATGAAGAGCTCGGAACAAGTGTTGTGTGTGTGTGTCTTGATCACATTTTACACAATGTAGTATAGTATAGTAGTAAAATTGTTTGCGAAAACATCAAAAGGAAAGCTTAGTGTACACGTAGATGGAAGGTGGAATACATAATCAGATGATTCAGAAAATACACCTGGTTTCTTAGCTTATCGACGACAAACAAGTGTTCGTTACGTTAAGGTTTCGCGTACAGGATGAGAGACAGTTGCGAAGTAAAACAAGACAGTGCGAGACACATACACATGAGGCATGAATAATTGATAAAAATACATAAGAGTACATGGAACAGAAGGAATAAATACTGGAGATTGGTTGTATATGTTAAAAGTTACACAGATATATAATACAACTGTCACAGTGTCATCATCAGTCCAATCATCAAAAAGATATCAACATTTTGTGTTAGTTGAATGAATAAAATGAAAGAAAAATTGGATAATGACTTAGCAGTGTATTTGACAGAGATTCTGTTTATAATTAGCATTATTTTAATCCAAATTACCAAATTCACATAAAACAACAGTGTTATACAAAATAAATATTTGATACATTGTGTAACAGAAGAAGAGAAGGAAAACCCCATGTGACGAAATAAAATAGAATGTCGCATTTGTTGCCAGTCAGTCCCTGCGATGAAGCGATCGATTTTTTCTCCTGGTTCACCAATTCTGAGGAATATCTGTGAATGTAACATTTATGATGATGGTGTTGATGATGAGGTGGCGTCGGATAGAAGTAATCCAATTTTCAAGTCATCCATATTAGGTAAAACAACTAAATGCTATAAGCAAAAAGAAAGAATAAGGACGTGTGAAAGTATAATGAAAAACAGACTGAAATGTGCAGTAAGTTTCAGAGGAATATTTTGAATTCTATTCATATGGGTTGCGAATGCTGTTACGCAGATATATATTACTTAAACTCACTTCTGACTGAAACTCAATTTACTGTAAATTTTTCCCCACTTTACGCATGTCATACGGCTGAATAAAGAATGAAATCAAGTTTCTGATTACACTCTTCCTTATCAAAAGAATTAAAGGAGCTTTAATAATTGCCTGGATAGGTTTAGGATACTAGTACATACGCTGCAGATGCTGATGGGCGCTTTATGTTTATAAAGATTGAGAAATTCTACTAAAAACAAAACATTTTCAGATTTCAATAATCTACTTTTTATTACTACTACCTATTTAGATACATTGGTATCGTGTATTAAACTATTCGGTGAATCTACGGTGACATCGTTTATAGCTAGGACTAAAATGAAATAAGGTATATATTTACCCTGATTTCACTTTAACAGCTTTTCAAACAGTTCAGCACTCGACTCTTTTCTTAGTATATCATACATGCCAATTCTACAAAGATCTCCAGCTGTTCAAATGTATGGCCCTAAAACATATCACAAAGGGTCGCTATGAAGGCTGCACAAAAGGTGAAAAGAAGACTTCAACAAAGTTAGATGATAACATGTCAAGTGAGAACTCCAACAATGCATTCTGCAGTCTAGAATGCCTTCATAATGATAATGCTTTTTTTTTTCCTTCACGTTCCCCAGTGGAACATAGGGCTTCAAGCTAGAGACTTCAAGTTTCTGTAGCAGTGTTTATTTTACAGGATAGGGTTGCTAGCCTCATGCCCAACCTTCCCTCTTCACCAGCATTATTTCTGGCTTAGCGAGGTGGAGTGCGTCGGCCGGGGATCGAACCCCGGACCATGTGCATAGTCGGCGAGCACCCTAACCGCTGTGCCACCGACGCAATGATACTGTTTACAAGCCATTAATACAATGACAAAATAAAAAAAACATTCAGAAAATCAACATCATCATTAAACACAAAAATATAATGATGCCTGCAATTGTGTATTTAGTTCTAAAAGGTAATTGTGTATTCAGCAATTCAATGGAACTGGTTGGCTATTTAAGTGCCAGTCAAAAAAAACAGAAATTCAATCGACTAGTTCTAGAATTACACAGGGCGCATGATGAATAGTGAAATTCAGTATGAATTGTAGTTACGCGAACATATCGTGTCTGTAGATAAACTGAGCACAATTCTCACTGAATGGGCTTGAATAAAATTGTACATGAATGAATAATTTGAATATCATTTTGCTATTAAAATATTTTTTGCGAGGAAATATTTTATTTAATTGATAGATGGTGATTAGCAGTGGAATCCAGGATGCGCATTTCGTCCTATTTGGGACTCATCATCTGAATGTACCAGCATTCCCCAGTGCTACTCACCATCCACCAATTAAATTCTAATTATATGCCCAGACATCGTCGAAGCATCTGCACAAGAAGCTGACATGTCAACCTGAGACCGAGCACTTCGGTCTAATCAATCGACGGGAAAATCTAAAATTCAATTAAATATGTTATTTGTTCAAAACGTCCGACTATAAACGAAGGATACTAAAACAAACCTATCAACACGCTGACGAATGCAACAAGTATTTTTTTCAAACGAATTTTAAGAAATGTAGACTCCAAACAATAACAGGGAGCATCACCTCTTCCCGCAGTACACTTGTGTAGATTTCTTCTGAGAAATCCGGAGGGATATGCCAATCGTTAAATTAAACCACAGGTAGAGTGACGCGTAAAATCCAAAAACACAGGATTTATCTAGAATACAGTACTCAAATTGTGAGATGTCTGTGGCAGAATGCCATCAAATGCACAATCAGTGTGCGTCAATAAGAGATAACAACAAAGCTGTGACAAAGACTATCCACGTGAAGATTAAACAGTGCGCGCATGTCAGACAAAGAAGAAGGGCATTCAAACAAACAATGTTCAACACAGAAGGGTAAATAAATGAAGTATATAGAGCAGATAGTGTTAAACTATAAGAAAATAATTACTATACATTAAATAGAGTATTAATACATCAAGTGAGTCAAACTTCAGCAGAAAACGAAAGTCATGGTTATGAAGTAACAAATATAATCCGTACTACTTTGCTAGTGATAAGTAGAATAAAGTTGAATACAAAAGAAAGAATAACAAAGGACAGATAGGAAAGGAATTAATAGAAGGCGTGCCTCGTTCCTAAACCGAATCCTGTAAAATGAATACATGACATGTACATGTAGTGAATTGTGCTCAGCTGTAGTGACTAGATGAAATACACCGATTGTGTTCTGTTCAAAATAAATTCGCACAATATACGACAATGATCTTTAGGTGAAATAAAAAAAAAAAAACAGTAAATTTAATTACCTGAAATTCAAGAATAATTTTCTTTTCAATCCATTCTAATATACGTGACATGGTAACAACCTTTTCACCAACACGAGGACGTGTTTTAATTCGTAGAGTTGGTGTAGGACGGAAACCATACCACAGACGATCACTAGGCGGTGGAGGAATGTTGACTAATAGTTGACCACTTAACATTTGTATCTGTATTTGTAAGTTAAAGAAAAAGAAACCTTATTTAAAAGAATTTTGTGGACATAACTGGTTACTGGGATTGCATTTTGACGATGAACGTTAACATGGGACTTGCCCTATTCAGGTAGGTAGTTGCCTGGGGTTCTAGTGAGAAGTCGTGACCAGTAGGGTGCAGCAGGTCGGGCGTGAGGACAAATACTCGCCGAAGACATTGGCTAGGGGTCGCGCTATGTCGTGAATTGGCAGAAGTTAGAATTCATGGGCCATTGGATCGGGTCCCAGTGGCTTAATAGTATACGAGCTCGCCTTGTAACCAGAAGGTCCTGGGTTCGAATCCCGGTGTGTGCGTACTGCTGAAGAGTCCCAAACTAGGACGAAACAGCTGTCCAGTACTCCCAGGTTTTCCAATGGTTCTCTAACTAATGTCAGCTCATGATGAAAATCCTGTAACCAATCAAATCCCTACAAACCAACACTTGAATATTATATTTTCGATAACTTCAACAAGTTCTTTAGTTACATGATCATAATAACTAAAGGAATCTCAGAGTGGATATAAGTTCCTTTCTTCATGATTGCAGATACTCCTTGCTGACAAGTACCAACACACACACGAAACCTAAGTTCAGCGTTTCCTGCTGATTGCATCCAGCCATCTAACACCAATTCAGTGTGCACCGAGATGGTGAGTTACCCGTCATGCTGACCACATTGTATACTTGACTGACAGAATTCAGTCTGCACAAGCCCAAGGACTAGAAGAATAACATTGGTTACTACCTAGTGGTCAATCAAAGAATTACTGTTGTTAGCAACATTATATATTTTAAATTATCCTGAATCAAGAATATCGATAGATTACAGTTCAAAAGCATCAATATAACACTAAATTAGATGTCAGATAAATTTAGAGGAAATAAGTGCAGTATTTGTGAATTGATTGGCTCCACAGCAGGCGAGAGTAGAAACAGTGGCTGGATCTGTTTCTTTTGTATGCAGAGCTGCGGTTGATTTAGGCGAATTGCAGTGACCTCTGTTGTTTACAGTATTCAGTATCTACAAATGTTTGGTAATTTATTTTGTACTTGATAGATGATAGAAATAAGTCCCTAATTATTACGGTCATACAACTGTAGGACCTGATGAGGAAGTTATCGAAAAGAATATTATTTGTTCACTAATCAGGTTTTTAAAATTTTTGATAGGTACCTGGGAAACATCAGAAACTGTCTACACCAAATACTGAAAACCAGATGGTTTACCGGAAAGGACAGGTAACAATCTATTATCCAAAAAATATACAGGAGGAAATAAATATATATTGGACATAGTATTTAGCTTGGGGTGGACAACCACCTGATTCCGGGTCAGCTCTTGTATGGGTTTCAGTCACCCTTCTTTTACAGTTCGATAGGGTAGTCTTTGTTCTCATCTTCGGATAGGTACTCTTCCTTCCTACCACACTTTCTGCAGCATTGTCGTCAGCATGCCTGTTAAGGATTCTGGGGGGAGTTTCAGCTGATCCTGTTTCTTTCTGACTAACCTTAAGGACTTTCTGCTTTGGTAGGATAATTCTGTGTCAGCTGCTGGTGGCATTTTGGACGAGTTGTAGGTGGCGGGCAATCCGAGAGTCCCAGAGTTTTCTCTCCTCCACCTCTTTGACATCTGGGTTCCCTTCACTATTTCACACTGGTTTCCTCTGCATTAATCTCCTCCCAGATAGACACCTGGTTATTTCATATAGTGCTGCGACGTCTCTCTCACCTGTTGTCTGTTCTACTGAACTAGCCATAGTGTTGTAAAAGTGCGCTTTCTGCTTCCTAGAACTCTCTTCTTTTGCTCTGTAGGTTGTACCCAAATTCTTCCTTTTGTTGTTGATCTTTGCATTGGCTCAACTTCTGCTTCGCTATGTTTCGCCAGACTATCTGTTTCCAGGTGTCCATAGTCAGTCGTTCTTCGTCTCAAATCATCTACTTTGCCTAAGGTAAGCCTTTTTCCACGTCACTTTCGGAAAGATCCAGTGTTCTTTCACGCAGGTTTCCATGGTGATGTGGTTTAGTGCCTCTGAATTTTTCTTGATGGCTGCACTGAAGCTGTTTTTTGCAGTTTTCTCCTTCATTTTCTGAGTCTTATGATCTATCTCCAGCTTCTTTGGACTTGATCTTGAAAGTTCTTTGCATTAGATAGTGGTCTGAAGACCTACTTCCTTAAGATCAGGTCAGGCTGAAGTTTGCTTGATTCTCGATATGTCCATAGACATTCTTGAAATATGTTACTCAAATAAGTAAGTTATCATTTAACCGAACTCTCATTATAAGCCTACCGTTCAAAAATCTTCGGAAGAAAATGAGAATTCATTTCGGCCTCATATTTCAAAGGTGAAATTAGGAATGATCTAGGTGTATTTCTCTGATATTTTTTCTCCTTACATCAATTTCGTTTCATATATATATGATCGTTCTTAAATATATCATTTTAGTAATGCAGTTCACTATCTCTCCACGAAAAGACGATGAACTGACTTCGAGATTTGTTTTAAAAATCAACGATACTACTTACTAGTAGTGTCAATGTAAAAGAAGAAATGGTATATTTCATGAAAAGAGACTAGCACAGGAGAATACTGTTTAAGTGGTGGAGAGATTTCATTAATTTTGAGGTAGGTTTCGAGACGAAATGACATCAATTAGGGAATACTTGAAAACTTGCCATCCAACATGATCGGTACACGTCTCAATTTACTATTTTAATAATACTGGACTCAGTGATAATTATTTCAATCTGTCAGTTTAATTCAAGAATACGATATGCAGATAATGTTAATTTGTTGAATGATGATAATTGAGTCAACAGGTGGTTGAACAGAAACATGTTGACTTCGAATAATGCAGACAAGCAAAAAAGAATACGAACTTGTTCTTATCGTGTAGCTAGCTACCTTTACACTAATCGGTTTTATGTGTACAAAATGTATGTCACAGATGTTACACAAAATGTCAACTGGTTACCGGAAGACAAAAAGTTGACTAAAAATATGACAAGTTTTTTATTAGATAAAAAGGGATTTAAATATTCAAAAAAAACTTTTTTCTTTGCAATACTTTAGATCACAAGAATTGTGTCCTGGTGAGACGTAAGGTAATATTTGATATGGATTATTTTGGTTATAGTAACTAACATTTGTGTCAGTACCTGACAAAACGATCAGTAGTCACACAGGTGAACATTTAGAGAATGTTAGGTGGGGTATATTCAACGAAGCTTAGAGTGAGAACCACGATAAAGTTCTAGTCACATTTCATCAAATAAATGTTTACACACAGCATCTGAAGCTATATAACTCATATGGAGGTGAAAATAAAGTTAAATGCAGGCACAGTGACCAGAGTTGTGCAGGGACACTCACTACAGTAACGCTTAAGACCATGATCTCTTAGATATCTGCCATTATGCAGACAGGTGGGTGAAGTCAATTATTGTAGGTGCTAACTGGTAAGTCACAATGTACCATAAATTAATATAATACTAGCCTTAACTATATTTAAATACTCTATGGTGCTTATTGTGTAAAGAACTTATTTTAACAATTCTTTCAGAGCTTTTACTTCATTTATTGATTTTTTTTCGCCCTATTATTAAGGAGTATACTAAGTTAAACCAGTCAATTATCACGTCATTGCTCTAGTTAACCGTCAAATAACTATTGAATTGGTCAAATATAGAATGTGAAATCCAATCAGCAGTATTTGAACACCTTTCCTACTAAGTAATTAAAACTCGTTACTCAGTACACAAGTATTGTGAGAAGGGAAAATCTGCTCAGTAAAGTATATGAAATTTGGCCTCATTTTTCATTACTATTATTATTATAAAATCTTCATCCGAGAAGTATATTCGCACCTACCTCAACTTGTAATACAATCGGTGTATTTGACAAACGCTCCATACCTCGTTGAACTAATTTAGTATCAACAGCTTTCTGGAAATACGACGACTTTGTGATGCGATCGACAATTCGTATAATCCGTCGACGTGATGGTAAAGCAGGTTGTAGATTTACTGCACTATTAACCAACAAAGAAAGCAAAATTAATCCATATAGACTACTCATCAGTAGCAACAATAAAACTGAATGCACCGTTTAAGTTGAAATCTAAACCACCAAAGTAAACAGTGTTTACACAGGACAAAGCGCAAAAACACAAAGTAAGCAGGCCATGAATTTCATCTAATTACTTTTACACATCAAATGTGATCTGACTGATTGAAAGTCTATAAAATAATAAATATTACACATGAGGCTTAAAAATATTTTAACTAAAAAAAAAAGGTTTAGATAATTATGAAATTTTTGATATCACCAACAAAGGTAGATTGAGAATTGTTAAAACGAAAACTGGTTGGAGAAAAAGTGAGTGAATTTTATAGCAAAAGAAGAGTATATCATGTTTGGATAGTGGTTAGACTAAAAGCAGTTACCCAATCCAATCCTATGACTCAAAATAAATCACAAAATATCATGCCGGATCGGTCGGGGCCCGGATTAACAACGACCGCGCTTCCTGCTGCCGTGTCACAGGGCAGAAGTGATAAGTGTGCTACTGAGACACACCAAACGAAAAACAACAAACAAAAACAGGCCGTGTGTGACCGGCCTCAAGCAGTTGCCCCCTGGGCTCTGCGGTCACGCAACCAACTTCCACGGTGTGGGCAGCCGGGAAGTAACAATCGCCCTCACAATCCGAAGTGCACGCGAAACCTCTCTAATCCTCACTCATCTTTGTCTTCATCTTCATCTCTATTATCTTGCCTTCCTTCTACTAATGCAACTCCTCTACTTAATGGCTCTTCACTTCCTCTTCACTCTGTGTGCACTGAAAACGACGGAAGCCAAAAAATCCAGCCAGCCAGCCAGAACCTAACAGTTACACTTTTTTGTATATATGAAACTACATAAATAGACTAAAATCTCATATAAAATAGCAGTGGATTTAAATTTAGCACATCAGGTGGTGAATGATAGGAAGTGCAAGCTCAAACACCCTAACTATCCCGTTTAAATATTCAATACTGAATACTGTACACTATATGCCGCCTAATTAGTGAGCTTTATGCATCCAAGGGTGACTGAACCATTGGTTCATTAGGAATGATGTCTTTCTATCATATATATAGTAAATCTTCTGCGAAAACTGTAGTAATAAAGCATGGTTTCTACGTAATAAACATGGCTAATAGACTAATAATACCCCGGAAGCATCTTTTATACTTCAAACTATTCTAGATTAGTGCCAATGTGTGTAATATAAGTTACAATAATGAACGACTAATGAAAGCTAAAATCTTTTGACTACTGAAGAGAAATGATAAAAATGAATTTGTGTGAACAGGAAATTTTGAAGATATAATGCATGACACAGTTTAAAACACCATTGTACACTAAAAAAAAATACTTGTTCAATCTTTTCCTGGGTTACTCTGCAAGAAGAATTTGCATACAAACATACTTATTATGCTGTAGCATGAATATAAATGTATGTGGGTTAACACGTAAAAATGAATCGATTAGGACACCTGGTGACAGAATAGCTTTAAAAAAAGCGGGAACACAATGTACACGATTGTCAGCTCAACGTGCGAACGAACTCTCCTTTCAATGTGCTCTTCTCTCACTTGTTCCAATTCAGGGAGACCGAGTAAAATAAATACACCGGTAGAAAAAGACATGAGTTGAAAAGTAATGCGAGAAATCTATTCTTTAAAAATTACAATATCATTCTTTTAGTAATCCTTGATTAGAGATTACAAGTATATGTTGCATATAAGGATGATAAAAAAAATGAGTTAGCTAATAAATTCATATTAGACTAGTGCTATTTCTTCTATTAGGGTTAGTTTAGCTAAGATACGCTGAGATTTACATACCGATTCGGTGAAACTGGAGAGGTACGTATAGGAAACCTTGATGAAGTTACACGCAATACAACGTAAGCAAAATGAATTATAACGAATCTACTAAGAAACAATGAACGATCTAATTTTCAAAACAAAAAATTTACGAAGACTCACAAAAACGTAGTTAATAGTCGTGATAAACAATTAAATTTGACAGTTCGCAACGGAAATCAACAAGTGAGCTGTCTACAATTCACATGACATCAAGATGCTACTGGATTGTATAAAATAGGTGTCTAGATAATATAGAAGAATTATTGGCTGAAAAAATATCTACGTTCCTGATATCATGAGCAAGCAGTTAAAACTAGTAAAAATGCTAAGACAGCTTGTATACTACCAGTGATTTGATACTGAGTTAATTATATTATTATCATTGTTTCCTTTAATTCCTAGAGGAACATAGGGCTTCAGCCGTGCGTCTCCATTGCGTTCGGTTCTCTGCTAGAGTCTTCACCTGGCTCCAAGTCTGCCCACACGTTTTCATCTCCTCTTCACATGACCTCCTCCAAGTCACCTTTGGACGACCAACTCGCCGCTTCCCTTTCGGGTTCCACTCGACCAATGGCTTGTCTAGTGATGTCACTTGATGGTTTCCTCAAAGTATGACCAATCCGTCTCCATTTCTTCCTGCCTATTTGTTTCACAATCCGCTCCCAGAGATCTCTGTTGCTGATCTTTTCTGGCCGGCCATCTGATCTTGAGTATTGAGCGAAGACAACTGTTAATGAAGGTCTGTAGTTTGTTTGATATGCTCTTTATGACGCGCAGTGCAAGTCTCTGATCCGTATAGTAAGTAGCACTGACTTCACATTGGAGTTGAAAATCCGGATCTTATTTTTGATGCTGAGTGCTGTTGACCTTCACACAGACTTGAGAGTAGTGAAAGCTTGTCTTGCTTTTCCGATTCTTGCTTTGATATCCTCGTCAGTTCCGTCTGCCTGTAGTTGAAACGATGCTTCCCAGGTAGGTAGGTAAAAGAGGTTGTTTCTTTCAGGTTCCTTCCATTTATGCTCATTGTTGTCTGTTGGTGTTGACCAGGAATCTTCATCACCTCTGTTTTCTCTATGTTCACCTGAAGTCCTATCTTTGATGCTTCTTCTGCCAACTTGTTGCTTTTCGCTTGCATATCTTCCAGTTTGTGGGAAATCAGACATATATCATCGGCGAAGTCCAGATCCTCCAAGTTGTGTTATAGATAGTAGTTAGTGTTAAACAAGCACACAGTGGCAAATAGATAGTTATAGGTATTATCGATCAACAATACTATATCCAAAGATTCAGTGTTTGAAAGGCAAATAATTGCAACAGTTTTTTGCAACTTTTGGCAAGATATTTCACAAAAATAAGAGTTTTATGTAACTATGTTAATGTAACGTAGTAATCGAAAAGCGCGTCTATCAGTGAACCGAGTTAATTATAGCTTATGATTTTAATTTGTGTGATTTCTAGTCATAGGACCTACTACAAATATTTTTTTTGGATACCACTCAGTAACGTTATCTACAATCAACAATTGTATAGTCTTTCAATAATTTCCAAACGAATTCATCGCTGGGTCAAAGATTGGTTCACTGGGGCTGAACGACTTGTACAACAAGACCAGTTCATGATATATTTGCTAAGGAAAGATAAGCTGCTTTTTTTTCTCTCCATAGCTTTTTAATCGAGGCGAAAAATTCAAAGTGGAACAACTTGCTTTTGAAAAGCAGCATAAATCTCTATTGAATTCAACCTCAATTTACAAATCTTTTGCATACTATGCTTTGAAGAGTTCAATTGAAATATCATTCATATCAGTTACAATGTTTTTAGTTCTACTTAATGTGTTTAGCACCCATGGAACTTAATTGACTATTGGATGATCTGATTAGAAAATACTCATTTGAACATGTAGATCCCATATATACAGTGTGATTTTGAATGTTTCATCCGTTAGACTCTTTATAAGACAATCTAAAAGGTTTACAGTTCCCAATAAACGATTTGATTTCATTTACAAGTTTTATACAATTTATGTATATTCGAAAGTTTCCTTGTTCAACTTTCTCTATGATGATGAATAACAAAGAAAACTCATTGTTTTTACTCCTAAAGCTTCTCGTACATATAACGATTAACTGTAAGACTAAAGATATTGATTAGGGAACTGCAGCAACTTTATCAGTCTGACAGTATAATTTCTCCTTGAATGTCAACTATGTATATTTCAAACAGAATTTTAAGCGTTAAACAATGTCTTTTATTGAAAATGAACATTCGGTTTACAATCCTAGATTGGAAAACAGAAAGATTGAGCGAAGAAATATTTACTTTTCAATTAGATCCTCTTCTCTGGCTCTACTCTAATATATATATATATATATATATATATCATTTTTACAATACACAACAATTTACCAAACAAGTGGTGATATGTTTGTTAACAATAATTAAACAGTGTCAAAATGTCAATGGGTTGATAATTAACGCAGAAAATCAATACACATTTAAAAAGTAGAAATGGACGTACATTGGGCGTACAATTAGGCAGTTTCATCATCGTATTTCTGAACATCATCCAGCGTGGTTAAGCAAGGGACAAACAAGATCTATTCGTAGTTCTATTTTAGCACACCTTGTTGATACTGAGCACAAGGTTGATGTGAATACTGCATTTAAAATTATTTATCGCATTCCGACTAATCTTAACTTTGCTCTACGAGTTCGTCTTCTACAGACAGCTGAAGCAATCGGAATCCACCAGAAGAAACCAAGCCTATGTGTACAGAAGAAATTTGTACAGCCACTTTCCTTACCGTGGCCATCGTTACAAGACAGGACTACGTCGCCCCCCCTCCCCCTATTATTATAATGTAAATTATTTTATTTTTATTTTGACCACTTCATCTTTAATTACGTGTTATTCTTGTAAAATTAATTTATTCTATCCATTTCTACCTTTTAAATGTGTATTGATTTTCTGCGTTAATTATCAACCCATTGACATTTTGACACTGTTTAATTATTGTTAACAAACATATCACCACTTGTTTGGTAAACTGTTGTGTATTGTAATAAAAATGCTATATATATTAGAGTAGAGCCAGAGAAGAGGATCTAATTGAAAAGTAAATATTTCTTCGCTAAATCTTTCTGTTTTCCAAATGTCTAAATGGGGATATTTTCTATATTGAAATCCTAGATTGTTTTCGAGCTCTTTTTCTGACAGCACTAAATGGGTGAGAAGTGAGAATGCTAGTAAAAACTAAAATCACATCAAAAAGTATCATAATTTCGTCCATTTCAATAGTGACATGTACCAATTTGTTGTTATCATGTAATAACTTTTAAACATGAAAAAAAGTATAGATTTCAGTTTTCTTTCATTCCTTCGTGTCCTGAGTGTAAAATACAACTTCAATCCTTGAAGTTTTCAGTTGCGATGGTGTTTTCAAGAGGTGGGGTAGTTAGCCCCACGCCAAACCTCCCCCCGCCGTTTTCCAAGGCTCACTACCGGGTAGTAAACTAGGCGAGGTTTACGCGTGTGTATCCACCGGGAATCGAACCCAGATCACGTGTGTGGTTGACAGACACTCTACAGTTGAACCTCCCAAGCATAAAGTCATTTAAATTCATTTCTTCACTTCCTACTGAACAAAAGAAAATAGCTGCCATTCATACACAAGTAGATTAACTGACAAGTTCTGGTATACACTATACTTTTCGTCTCCAAATTATTTTATAACAAAATTAGTAGTGGTTAAAAATGCTGTAAATAATCTACTAATATTGATGACGCAAGATTTTTTTGTTATCAATTGGACCTCTGTTTGAGTTTGATTCAGTTATTGGACTGCTATTTAATAATTATGAATTTTTAGTAGTTTAACAGTAATTACAAGAAAATGCAGCAAAGTTATCGAAAACTGACAAACTATCCTACATAGTTCAAAAACCTGTGAATCGGGATTAAAGTCACTGCCTCCACATGAGAGTGCAACTGTTTGATTATAACCAATAGGATACTTTATCCGACATTTTTTTTCCTTCACGTTCCCCAATGGAACATAGGGCTTGAAGTTTCTGTAGCAGTGTTTATTTTTACAGGATGGGGTTGCTAGCCTCATGCCCAACCTTTCCTCTTCACCGACATTTTTCTGGCTTAGCGAGGTAAAGGAGTGAGTCGGCCGGGGATCGAACTCCGGACCATGTGCATAGTCTGCAAGCGTCCTAACCGCTATGCACTTATCCGACATTACAACATAGTTACTAGGCTGCATAACAGAACTTGCTGAATATAGACTGAAAAAAACTTACTGTTGCATTACTCATTATCAAAAGAGTAAAACGTGAACATAGATTTCGTACAACCTTATTAAATGAGTGAGGTGTCTATAGTCATCACTACTATAATTACATTATAGTAACTTTCCCACTTAAACATCTCTCATAATCCATGTTTTATCAGATATATAAGAAAATCGTAAAGACAGAACACAGGAGTTATTATTACCTCTCATCGAGATTATTACGTTCACTATCACCTGACTTTAGTACACTTGTATTCAAACCGACTGAGGGCAAATTTCGTCCAGATCGTAAACTGTTTGTAGGACTAGAATTTTGGTTCATTGTCGATTCATCTAGTTCAGAGTCAGTTGTAGAATCAGCACTGTCTTCTTCGTCAGATACAAAAGCAGCCATTTTTGTGGTGGAGCGTGAATTCATCCTTTGTACTGATTCATTCAATGAAGGCGAATTCTGAGTTAAATTATCTAAATTAAAAGCAAAGCATATTAATTGAACAATTAAAATTAATTTTACTGTAGTAAAAATATGTTATGCGTCCAAGAAACAGAGTGAGTGTTTCACGAACACAGGAATTACGATGTAGATGAGTTCAAATTCGAAAGGTGACTGGTTCATTGAAGAAAAGTCTTAAACATGAAAAACACTGAGGAAAATTCCCTATCCATATTGACGAAAGTATATCTGTTTAGTAGTCTAGTCTTTGAGATTCTAATAAATATTGCATAGTTTCAACAATTTCTAACTTTTTCTTGACGTTTGGACACAGGATGGTGAAAATTAAACAAAGACCTACTCCGTAAACAAAGTGTACAGTATAATAAAGGTTTTCGTATTTCCCAATGAATGAAAAACAAAACTATATTGTTTTTACTGACGTTTCGCTATTTAATGCTAATAGCTTTATCAAAGTATTATTAAACCGGAATTTACAAAATCTCAGCATATATATAACAAACAGTTAGGGGGTGAGAAAATAGACATAGGTCAAGTTAAAGGGAGATATTGAAAGTAAAAATAGCAATGAAGATAACTAAACCAAATAACAAAGGTAATAGTATGTCTGTTATGATATCAAAATAAAGTTTACTAACTTGATCATCGTTCGTCTGTCTGGGGGCATTTTTAGTTGTCAAGTTGGTCAATTGGTAAAGATAACAAAACTCTCAAGCAAAACAACTACCCATGGAACTTCATCAACAAAATCAACACAGACATTAAGTATGGCCAAAAACGCATTCCGAAAACATGGACATCAACAGTCGTCATTCCATATAGAGCAGAGACATCAGACGATATCAGAAGAGTACTCAATCAGCTCGACATTAGAGTTTTCTTCAAAACATCAGACACACTTCAAAGCAACCTTGTCCATGTAAAAGACCAAATCCCCAAAGATTCTCTAATTGTGTCTATAAAATAAAATGCTTGGAATGTGATGCGATATACATCGGACAAACATCTCGAGAAATCAAAATCAGAAGAAATGAACACCATAGAGCATCTCTTCGACCACCGAGAAATCCTGTTGAACTACAAAAACTTGAAAAATCATCAGCCATAGGTCTACATGCTATAGAATCAGGCCACAAAGTTGATTTTGACAATATTGAAATAATCCAGAAAAACTTCAGAAATCACAAAGAACGTCTAATATCAGAAGCACTTCATATCAAGTGGAATCCAAATTGTCTGAATAGGAATGATGGACTAAAACAGAATTTGACCTGGTTACAACACCTCCCTTCCCCATGAAGTGACAAAATCAACACGAATGTGATAAGCAATTTCATTATGTAAACACACACTACTTTTATAATTTTACACACTGATCAAATCCAACAATCTACACATGATGGTTTTGTTATCTTTACCAATTGACCAACTTGACAACTAAAAATGCCCCCAGACAGACGAACGATGATCAAGTTAGTAAACTTTATTTTGATATCATAACAGACATACTATTACCTTTGTTATTTGGTTTAGTTATCTTCATTGCTATTTTTACTTTCAATATGTCCCTTTAACTTGACCTATGTCTATTTTCTCACCCCCTAACTGTTTGTTATATATATGCTGAGATTTTGTAAATTCCGGTTTAATAATACTTTGATAAAGCTATTAGCATTAAATAGCGAAACGTCAGTAAAAACAATATCGTTTTGTTTTTCATTCATTGGGAAATACAAAAACCTTTATTATAATGAATATCATATACCCAATGCACAAATTTTTTCAAACCGTTAAAAGTGAACTTGGTTTGGACATATATAAAGTGTACAGTGTTGATAAACGTCGATTCTATTACTATGCATGCTAAGAAAACAGAGCAACATAGTCAATTTGTACAACTGCTTTTCCAATGTCATTATAAGGCTAAATTAAAAACAAAACATGCATAATGTTTTTGGGTGCAATACAACACCAAGTAATTCGTTAGGGTGTTATCTATGTATCCAAAAAGAAACCCAACATGATTGAGAATGTGGTTAATAGAATATAGTATCAGAGTTCAGGGATGTGAATTAATGGATAGCAATTGAGGTGATCACAATAATAATAATAATGTAAATTCATTCAAGTATTTATAAAATTTAGGCAACCGTGAGTGTATAGATAGAATGTGAATTCTGGTAGGGCGAGAGGGGAAAATAATTATTGTCACATAGCAACTAGATAATGTAATAATACTGGTAAATTGTGAAACCGAGACTAAAATGTACAACTACAGCACAGCATAATATTGATAATACAGATAGCATTACAATTCAAACCCACTAAGATAACGCTTACAAGTATCCGGTGTCACAGGGAGAGATAACTAACTATTCTAGGTTGGTGGTGAAGGCCAAGCGAGGGAGAGGAATTGAAAACAAACTTTTTCTGAACACAGACATTGGGTTGAAAAATCTTTGTGACGACTGCCTCAGATATGCTTAGTAACCTAGATAGCTCAGGTGGCACGTTCTATAGAACTGTAAAAGCTGAATTCCTATTTATCTTGTGCTAGGTGTGTCAATCTGATTGACTTCACAACTTATTCACCTAACCACGTTGGACAATGATCCAGAAGGCGACAGTGGGCTTGCCAATAATAACAGTAATCAAAGAGAGGGAGTGAGTATGTCTACGATTTTGTTTTTAGCATACTAAGGATTATTTGTCACGACTTTTATGGTATAAATAGATTCATCTTCGTATATCAATCAAACTAGACAATACACTCATATTGGTAAATGTTAATTTAATTTCTAACATAACAGAAAAACTAAATAAAGAGGAAACATACCTGTTGAATTGTTATTATCCTTTTCTTCACGAAGCTTTTGATTCCAACGCATTAAATTAACCTGAAGAAAAAGGGAAAACCGAAGTGAACAAACTCAAGACTAGGCAGTAAAACAACATAGGAAAGTGTACATACCAATGACCAGTAAATTACTCCAGTTGTACGACAGTTATGCAAACAGTAGAAAAACTCATATGGTTAATTGATAAGTAAACTCGCAGGTGATAAAGTTTAAAGGGAATCGAATTACTTTCCAGACCAAATCGATTCAACTCTGAAGACCAAATGAAAGAAGTTAATCAACTTGTAACTGATGAACTTCATCAAAAGAGAAGAAATTTCATGATTACTAAAATTCATTTGGTAAAATAATTCTTCAATTTAGACTGAATACGGATGTAATTGAAGTAGGATGATTACATCACGGGTACCAGTACATCATCTACGCTTTCTTTCAGTTAGCAGGAGTTGTTAGAAAAGGTCAACAATCTTTTGCATTATGAATTTTCAAAACTGATAATAAAGTTCTTCATTTAATTGAATTTGAGATTTTCCCGTCGATTGATTGAACCGAAGTGCTCGGTGCCAGGTTGACATGTCGTCTGAGACTAAGCACTTCGGTCCAATCAATCGACGAGAAAATCTCAAATTCAATTAAACTAATATGACCCATTGCACAAGAGGTGGCTGTCGTGGACCAAGTGGTCTAGTGGATAACGCTTTGGCATTTGAAACTAAGGGCAATGGGTTCGAGCCTCGGTGGGAACATCATCACTCACTGGGGAATGCAAGCACATCCAGATGACGAGTCTCAAATGGGACGAAACGCGCATCCTGGATTCCACTGCTAGCCACCATCCACAAATTAAATTCTAATTACATGCCCAGATATCGTCGAAGCATCTGCACAAGAAGCCGACATGTCAACCTGAGACCGAACACTTCGGTCCAATAAATCGACGGGGAAATCTTAAATTCAATTAAAGTTCTTCATTTAACAGATGTCGTTGACTAAGCATTACCATAAAACTGGTTTATAAAGTGTCTGAAGGTGGACTTTGTTGAATTCTGGCGTCAGTAGGTTGGGTAGGAAATAACAGCTGCTTATTTACTCATAAAGTAATTAAAATATAGATTTCATGTAACAGTCAAAAAGTTTTACCATCACTGACTGTTCTAGTTGTAAGTATTATTCCGTTTAACGTTTAACACACTGCAACTTTTTCTGATGATTCGATGAAACACACCGCAGTTTCTTATACTATGGATTTTATACATATTCATGGTGCTACAATTAACAAACCACAACAAATTACTATTATGACTTAAATTTATTTACATTAATTTTTTTTTAAATGGTGTCTAATGGTAACAGCAAACCATTTAGCAGAATTAAAATGTATCACTAAAGGGACCGAAATGGCTACAGACGGTCTTTAAACAAAAAATCTTTATGCTTCAGATTAGAACAATGCATTTATTTCTACTAGACAGTAACAAAGTTATTTCAGTCCGAAAAGATCGTCATACATAAATGTGCATCATTGGTTCTACACATGAGTTTTCACTTGAATAATTCAACTTGGTGAGGATAAAAATTAACTCATTATAAACGACAGCAGGCAATTGAATGTCACTATGTTTCTGGGTTGAACAAATAATAAGGTAGTAGTCAGATAATAGATTTGTTAAACCATAAAAAAAGTTCAACTGATAATCGCACTTCAATATGACAAACCTAGCTGTAATCCACAATCATTACAACTTTGAACATACCAATGAGTTTGTAATTAAACTGTTACTACTTTTAATAAATACCACACTTACGCTTGTTTCTAAAGCAAACGAAAATCCACCAGCATAACCGATGTCAATTTCGATCCAGAGTCCATGAGCATCAAGATAAGGACATCCAACACGTCTTAACACAGGTATCTCTGAACCCAAATCAATATCCACCACCGTGAGTTCATTGATGAAGTTTGGCAACTTGATAGGTAAACAGATACAAAAGTAAATTAATTGCATTAAATATACTTAGTAAATACGTATCAATAAATTAAAGTTACTCCCAAAAATCAAAATAGTTGGAAAGAAATGGAATACAATAAGATGAATACTTTAAGTATTTTTCAATTAATCACATAAAGGATTATCTCATATCACTCAAAATGGATATTGTAGGAATGAATGTGCACCACTCAAAATAAGAATGCATCAGTTTTCTAATAAATACATATCCATAGCATAAGATGAAGTTTCCAATGAAGTCAAACCAATGATTTACATTAGTCATAGAACGTCATATTTCTCAGCTAAGTTTAAACTCACAGTCGAAGGTAAAAACTAAAACTATCTTGAAGATGGACTTATCAGGCTTTTATTCCAGTTTATAAAACTCATCAAATTCTACATTGCCACAGTATCCACGCGGTATGTTTTTACTATGTTCAATATATATATATATATATCATTCAGCCACTGTGACCCGTTACAATGGGTGAGTACTGCCCATGAGTCCCAAACTAGGATGAAACAGCAGTCAGTACTTCCTGGTTTTCCATGGTTATCTAACTGATATCGATCCGTGGTCTAACCTGAAGCAAATAGAATCCCTACAAAAAACCAATTCTTGAAAATATATACGTTTGCGTCACTCTTCCTTGATCAATTTCATGTAGAAAGGTATAGCAACATGTGTGAAGAAAAAATGGAGGAAGGCGTCATTCATGTTTATTTAATTGACCTTATGCAGTCCTCGTATACAAGAATGTTTATACCAAACCAGAGGAATTTACTTACGTCACAGACAATACTGATACGGCGCGCGAATACGTAAAAAAACAACGTTTAAATAAAAGAACAACATAAAATACACATGTACAAACTATGATAGTTACTGACTATGCGTCACCTGACTAAGTGATCAAAGAAATCAATACGGTGGAAGCATATACACACACAAATATACATAAACTCAGAGATTGCCAAATTTAAAATGATTTTGTACCTTTTGTAAAAAAAATTCAATTAATCAAACATTTCTGAATAAACGAATCGATTCAAAATAAGCCTAAAATTGACATTTTTCTCTTTCCTCTAACAGAAATCGGAATTGATTTAACATGGATGATTTATTTAGTTTGTAAATGCTTTTTAAAAAAAGGAGTATACATAATGCTGATGTCCATTCGCATAGCCTTGTAGTGAATTGAACAATTTGAAAAACATAATCTTTTGCAGATTTCCAGGAAGATTGAAAGACACTGAAAAGATATCCCATTTCAGTCTGCAATTATCCATCTATTATTGCTCTAATATCAATGAGATCAAGCTTAGTATCAGTAATCAAACTGTTATTTACCTCACGGATTTGAATTCAGTGATTGACTTCACACTTAGTTTCCAAATACCTTCAGGGTATATATCCCAACTCCTATCCAGTGAGATCACTATGCATTCGGACTAAGTATTATATTTGTGACAACTATTATATATATTGAACGGTTACAGCCGATAACTAGTAGGCAATAGACTATCACCATGAACTAACTGGACACTTTCCAATTATGTGAACCTTCTGATTCAACCAGTAGTATTGATTGTCAGCATTAAGAGAATATGTAAGTATGGACAATCATTAAGTCTGAGCAAAAGTTATATACTTCACAGACATCGGTGTATGAATTCGGAAGTTAAGTGTTCATGACCATTGTGATATTAAACGAAAATAGCCAGAAGAAGAACAGTAATAAATTATTCAGTGATTTATATTCGCTAATATGTAACAAAAAATCGAATGATAGTTGTATGATCAAAATTTAAAGCAAAATTTCCCCTTCAATTTAAGTCGGATATAAAATGATTAGTCCTCTTCCCATCCAAAGACAAATGAACCTGTTCGGAATAAACAATTAGATATTGAGTTGATAAGGTGAAAGCTGAAATTCGAACAGGTAGGTAGAAACAGCTAAGAGTGAGATGATCGTCGTGGATGAATAACTAAGATAGAGAAAATAACTATATGCTTAATATTCCTTGTAAGAACACTGACATTTTTCTTGTAAATGACAATAAATTTAGATAATCAAAATTCTGTAAAACGGAAAGCGAACCTTGGAATTAGCAGCAGGTTATCAGAAAACAATACTTAAAGCAAAATCAGTAGATTTTTTCTGTTTCTACCAATTGAAATTGTTCATGAATAATGAAAACAAAACAAGTAGGTTCAGTGAAGAGTCTCTTTTCGGCGGCGAGGCATTTCAAAAATGTGATGAGTAATCAAATTGTAACTAGGGGGTGGGGTGAGGATTCATAAGAGGGTAGTGGTGATGTGTTGTCAGAAAACATATTTATTAACACATACAAGAAGCTGAATAAGCGTGATACAGTTACGCAATAAGATGAATAGTTTAATTAATGAGTTGTGACTGAGATAGACATAGAAACCAAGGAAAACATGGAATTATGTACGAGTTCTAAAAATTGCAAATATTATAAGGACCTGCAAAGTGATCTACAAAGTGAAGAAAAACCTACCAAAGGCAATACGCTTTCGTCTCCTTTGTATTGCTGGAGCTTTAGCGATTCAGTTGGAAAAACCAGAGTTGTGTATACAAAAGAAAATCATCCAACCAATTCTATTATCATGGTAACAAGCGTGTTGACTTTTTCTCCGGTTAGATGTTTGTGTGCTTGTTTCTTCTTTTAACTCCTTATAACATTTGTAATTTTTGGGTCTCTTACATAGTTCCATGTTTTCCTTGGTTTCTAGGTCTATCTCAATCACAACACACTCATTAATTAAACTATTCACCTTATTACGTAACTGTATCACGCTTATTCAATCTCTTTTATCTGTCGATTAACATTAATAACTATGTTTTTCTACAACACGTCACCACTACCTTCACCCCACCCCCTAGTTACAATTTGATTATTCATCATATTTTTGAAATGTCTTGACAACAATAACCCTAACTAATTTTTATTCTTATCGGACAATCCTCATGTATACACACACACATACAAAAATGACTATACATAATTGCGACTGCACAACTGAGTGAATGAATTCGCTGAACTACGTATATTGTATCCATTAAATTGGAATTGTGTTTACGTGCTCAGAAAAACATGTGTTATTTGTAATTTGCTCAAAAAATTGAACCTTACATAAAATAGCATAATAGTAAAACACTATTGTCTGGATTCAACATAGAACTTGGCACCGAAGTGCAGCAGTTCGAGTTGACACGTTCCAAATACCCCACAAAGGTAGACAAGAAAATGAGTGAAGAGAATCAATAGAGTTTTGACAAGTATGGGAGTGAAACAGAATCAGTAATGGTAGTAAGGAGTATGAAAGATTACAGAGACTGAATACATCTGCGCCATTGACAACGATTTTGAGCACTATTAGTATCCTGGTTCACATTAAATCATACTCGATAAGATAATAAATTGCAAAGCGTTGTGTTCAAAACTCTGCCCAGTAAACAATACCGAAGGACAATAAAAGCTACGCAGTTAAACCATCCAGCTCAGAGAACACAACCACATCAAAAACATGCGCGCTTGAATAACTCGCTTTGTGCTATATGTAAAAGGTTTAGTTTTGTTTTCAGAAACTAAAACGCAAACGACATCAATGAATGATAATTTACAAATTCATACAAAAAAATTGCTGTATAAAAGCTAGACGGATTGAAGGTACTGCTAGAAAAAGAAAACCATTGTAGATAAATTTATGAATAGTGATTAAAGATTATCGTTAGAATTATAGCACATATTATTGAACAAGCAAATATTCATTCAAATAAATGGCTCTTTATGCGCTGCATTGATTCATCTACACTAAATGGATAGTAAGTCTCAGCATATCAACTACGTAAAGGTGTTATGTAACAAGGAATCATTACATACAATAATACTTCCATAATTGGTTTCGGGATAAATATTGTTTGAGTTTCAGTAATGTTAAGATGTTAAGAGGTGATTTGGAAACTACTACGCTACTATGGGGTGCCACCGACAATTACACATCGTATCCGACAGCTGTACGACAAAATGCTGCATGCCGAGTAATCCACAACGGGAAACTTACGGAATCCTTCGAAGTGAGGACAGGAGTAAGACAAGGCTGCCTACTATCGCCAATGATTTTCCTGATTGCAGTAGATTGGATAATGCGATAAACAGCGGGCAATGAGGAAACAGGCATACAATGGACACACACAAAAAACTTGGAGGATCTGGACTTCGCCGATGATATATGTCTGATTTCCCAGAAACTGGAAGATATGCAAGCGAAAAGCAACAAGTTGGCAGAAGAAGCATCAAAGATAGGACTTCAGGTGAACATAGAGAAAACAGAGGTGATGAAGATTCCTGCTCAACATCAACAGACAACAATCAGCATAAATGGAAGGAACCTGAAAGAAACAACCTCCTTGTCCTACCTGGGAAGCATCGTGTCAACTACAGGCGAACGGAAATGACGAGGATATCAAAGCAAGACAAGCTTTCACTACTCTCAAGTCTGTGTGGAGGTCAACAACACTCAGCATCAAAAATAAGATCCGGATTTTCAACTCCAATGTGAAGTCAGTGCTACTATACGGATCAGAGACTTGCACCGCGCGTCATAAAGAGCATCTCAAACAAACTACAGACCTTCATTAACAGTTGTCTTCGCTCAATACCACTCAAGATCAGATGGCCGGCCAGAAAAGATCAGCAACAGAAATCTCTGGCAATGAGCGAACCAACCAAGAACCGATTGTGAAACAAATAGGCAGGAAGAAATGGAGATGGATTGGCCATACTCTGAGGAAACCATCAAGTGGCATCACTAGACAAGTCATCGCTCGAGTGGAACCCGAAAGGGAAACGGCGAGTTGGTCGTCAGTGCAAGGGTGACTTGGGGTAGGTCATGTGAAGAGGAGATGAAAACGTGTGGGCAGACATGGAGCCAGGTGAAGACTCTAGCAGAGAACCGAACCCAATGGAGACGCAAGGCTGAAGCCCTATGTTCCTCTAGGAATTAAAGGAAACAATAATAATAATAATGTTAAGATTCAGTGCATAGTCGGTAGGTGTACCGTAGAGTGTTCAGTGTAATATTACACTGTCAAAGTGATGTATTTCAGACGTTTCATTCATCTCTTAGGAGTTTCAAAAGAAACCTTGTTGATTATTTATTTATTCATTTTTGTTGCTACTATATTGATGCCAAAATTCCATTAACTTGAATTTAAAGTGTTCTCTTTTCACAGTGTATGATCGAACTAAGTCAGCTGTTTGATATTACAGATTTTCGAAGTAAATATATATATATATATGCAAACAATTGATATGGTTATGGGGCCACGGTACCTCATATTATTATTGCTAGGATCTGTTGGAAATCATCCCTTGACTTTGATGTAGTTGCGCTCTCTCAGCTGGATGGTTTATTTGCGAAGATTTCATCGTCCTACTAGGAAACATGTTCAGCGCATACTTCAATTTGAAGTCGGCTTTTAGATTTATTTCTCCACGATTTTATTAGTTATCTCTCTTGGTGACTTTGAACGTGATTGGTTGTTTCTGCATGTTTTCGCATCCTCTAGGCTACTTTTATCGGTACTGATTGTTTCCTTGACCTGAAGTTTGACCCTTTGTGTGTGAGATTTCTTTCTTATCAATTGGTAAATTTCATCTATGTCGATGTGCCTATTGATTGACGATTCACTAGAATACCAGGCTCCTACAAATTCTCTAGCATTCTTGGTGTTTCTTCTGTGTAATATTTGAACGTTGTCCCAGGTCAATTGATGTCCGTGGTTGTCTGTATGCGGCGATACGAGGGAGTAGATGTCATGTCTTTTGACGGCTAGTTTATGTTCATGAATACGAAGACGAAGGGGACGTCCACTTTGACAAATGCAGTGTTTTTCGCAGTTGTTACAATTTATTTTGTAGATGATGTTGGTCTTATCTTCTTTCTCCATTGAGTCTTTTGGTGGATACAGGGCTGAGTGAAGTGATCCTGTTGGTTTGTGTACGACATTAATTCTTAAAGGTTCAAAGAGTCTTGCAGTGATTTATGAGAGGTCTTTTATATGTGGTGGGGTTATATATTTTTTTGTTGTCCTTGAGGCTCTTTGATTTGGTAGGTTGGCTTGGGGGTAGATTTCTTTTGATGAAATTCCGTGGATATCCATTCTTTTGGAAGACGTCCGTGAGATATCTTTCTTCGATTTTCCTTAAGGTAGGAGTGCTGCAATGAGTTCTGGCCCTCTAAAGTATTCCATTTTGGTGACCCAATAGCTGTATCAAACGTGTAATCATGTATTTTTTTAGCAGAAAGCTTAGTTATAGGAACGAACTGTTGTTTGATGCTAGAGTTACACTGGTTACTTTCATAGTTTGCATTTGCGCACATCACAAGGATAATCAGGACTATTGAAAGTGCTTACAGCCAGAACAACAAAAAGGAAACGAAGATAAATCTTTAAAAAGATATGGCACAATTTGTCACATCAGGTATCAGCTGCAAAAATGACTTCCTGAAAGAATGGATCAAAAATCATCCGACAAAAGTCAATCATTCCCCATTAATAACACGTTTAATCCAAAACGGATGTTTTTTGAATACTTGAGGTTGCATTTTTAAGTCAAAATCAATTCAATTTTCACCGCTATTTTTAAATAAGTTAATAGGCTATAAATCCACTCTGATATAGTAAGCCTCCGGAAAAATTGTGTCCGCCGTACAATCACGTCAGTACCAACCAACCTTCTTTGTAACGAGGCAAGCATCTTCCCTTTATCTTCCGGTGGTGCTACATTATTTCTACTCACTAAAAAAAGTTAACCTTCTAAAAATACACGATAAACTAGATCGCGGAGCACTTGATTACTTCGCTGTGTGTGTGAAGTTGTAAAACAAGCCTCCATAGTAAAGAACCGAGGGAATTACTCGTTGAATCTTAGGTGATGAGTTTGGTGGATTTGTACAAGTGAGCTATTGTATATTTACGAGTTCGACCACAGTATCTAAAAGCTTCACAGATGTACATATACCATTTTATCTCATTAAAATGGAACTTCCCTTTGAAGAATTCTAATAACTAAGAGCTGTGATAAGCTTGAATAAGTTGTGAAGAATAAAATGTAAAGAACTATTATGTATTGACTAATACCTATGACATTTCTACTTATCTACTGACTGACTGTAAGAGAAAAGAAGTGGATACTGAACACTACCGAAAGCAGTCTAGCATCTAATAAAAACTCACGAGTGCATTTACCTTTGGATCTATCTGTAGCCGGAATTTATACGGATAAAAGTAGACAAGGATTGGTCTCCGAATACCAGCCAAGCTAAATGATAATATCAACAGTAAGTACGTCATGTTAGATCACAGATTCAGGTTAGTTAGAGAACCATTGAAAACCAGGGCGTATTGGACAACTGTTTCGTTCTGAATTGGAACTCCATAGTAGTACGCACTCATGACCATACTGTAGATAGAAGAGAAAATCCTAAACCTAAGACGACACAGCTATCATCCAGTAGTTAATGTCAGTTCATAATATAACCTGAAATCAATCAAATCCCTGCAAAGCAACACTTGGGAAGTGAAGATATCATCGTTTAAAAGGATCGGAGGAGAAAACACTATTCTTCTCAGTGCAGTTGAGTTTGCTTCGTAATGGACAGGACCTTCTCGAGCTCAGTTCGGTGTATTCAAGCAAAAAAAGAAGCAATACTTGTTTTAAAGTAGTTATGTTCTCCCCAGTTTATTGCGAAAAAAACCCAGAGGGAACTGTAGGTTATTCAAAGGCAACTTGAAGAAAGTCAGTAAAACTACGCGGATTTTTGTGGACTTAAAAAACACGAGAAAACAATTCAATTTCTTCTGGAGACGGGAAAGGAGAATAGAAGTGTGATGAGAACTGGCTGCAAGCCAAATCGGTAGATAGTAATTTACGTCAATGTTTACGTCCTCAATATTGGTCGTGGGAAAAATATGAACAAAGACTGATTCAACAACCAACCACAGCAGACTTTACGTAGGCGGATATAGTTAGCATATAGATGATCTGACATTCAAGAAACAGCCACAAAGAGATGAAAGATTAACTTGCAGTGAGAAACAACCAATCAGAAGACTGTGTTTTTCTGCTAACAATTATCTATAATAATGTACAAGAAAATCTATAAATATGTGTTGATTTCCTTAATAAACAATCTGTTGCCTGGCCCTTGTCTTCTGTTGTTGCAGAAGTAGTTGCAATGTAGACATCATCGTAGTGCAATTTGACACTACTTTTAGACAATGACGGATTGTATAATGATCTCTATAAAATCGTTTAGGTTTTGGAAAACGAGTACACTATTTCCAGAGGTAAAACAAAGATAGACATGCGTGACTCCTCCGGTGGAAATTCACCGACAAATGGTTAGTGAGAAAATATCTTTAAAAAATCAAGAGAATAAACTGATGAAATAAACCATATTGGAGTGTAAAAATTGCTGCTCCATGCTTGAATAGTTTGAAAATGATGTTACTCTGAGATAAGTTATGTGAAGGTGAATCATGAACAGAAAACACACACAATTCAAACCATGATAATTGGTAACCAGAGCAATGTAAATAATAATCATGCTTACATGTATCTTTTTCAGCTTTGCCTGAATTTTATTTCTTATTCGTTCTAGCCAATAAGCTTCACGTAAAAAATCCCACAATAAACGACCAATTAACGCATTCAACCAAATCATATTCGTGTCACAGTTAATCTGATTCACATTCAATTTCAATGCTTGAGCACTACGTACAAGCCAACCAGCCGGCATAAATTTAGCCATGTATCGAATATATGAAACATAAACTGGTTCACGACTACCAGGCATTGCAGCACCATAACTTGATAAATTTACACTAGATGAACTACCGACGCTATTTGTATTACCTAAACTAGAAGTAGTAGTAGTAGCAGTAGCTGTAGTATTGGTTGTTGAATCCGAGCAAGTTACTGGATTCGATGTCGTGTTCGCATCAAGACGACTTTCATCATCACTTAAAACTTCATTATTGATAGCAACGCCAGATGCAGTAGTCGAAGTAGTAACAGTATTTAAACAATCCGGAAGGCTAGTGTTAGTATTATCTGAAGCCAACAGGTAATTTTGTACTGCCTACAAAAAAAAAGAAAGCGAAAACACGAAAATAGAATATTATTATTGATGTGCACATAAACCATGTTTCTGACTTTCAGTGAAGAGTTACATGATCAGCGTAACAGTGTACTGCTTCACACAACCCTAGAAAGATTAATAAATAAAGTATACAGAAGTGCACTAATTTAAGACCATTGTCCCATTGTTTGAGGACTTCTCTACTGGAATGTCAATATCTAGTGACTTCTCACTAATAAATGTAACTCATCGTTTCGATCAGCGGGATGCTTGCGAATAGTGGCATTATATCATATTATAGTTTTTTTTTCCTTAATGTATTTTATATACCACAGATTTTAAATACGTCACTCAAACTATATTTTAATAACCATTTATATGAAAACTGAAACTCAAGAATTTTAATGCTTCCTGCTAGGAGACAATTATTAGTGTGGCTACATAAAAGCAAAGTAAAAAGCAGTGTATGTTCGATATCAATGAGATTGATCCAAACACACTACACTGTCTAATGTGTACCTACCCGACCCCCACTGAAAGCCACCAAAAATACTGGAAACTTTAAACATTAAGAGGCACAATGATTCACCAGCACTGTGTACACACCCCCGAATACGTAATCATGTGATACCTTTGAGTTATAACCTTTTAACCTTTCTTTACTCGATCCCATTTATCTGAGTTATTCCCCTTTGCACTCCTACATTTATGCAAATGAAATTGCTTTTTAATTCAGTCAAGAAAAATGTAACCCTGTGTGTGTTTACTATATTCTTTCACATAACTGGCCCTTTCTTTACGCGCTGCATCATAATCAAACCGAATAAAATTCATTTTAGGCAATAATCACTATATAATTTACTCAAATTAGGGTTATTCACTTTGTATAAAATGCATTACGGCATTTGATGAACAGTTTAGTGTTATGTTTAAGCATACCATTACATTCACACATATTTTTCAATGCATTCTAATGCTGACTTGCTCGCATATTACTATTCACATACGCGCCTTACTGTTTTACAATTTCCTGATTCTTTGATCTCAGTAATTTGATGTCAGAGAGAGAGAAAACAGACCCAACTGTTGTTTTAATTCTTCGTGATACGATCGGAACAAAGGCATTTAAGCCTTGAAGCTTTAGCAAAGATTGTGATTTTTCACGCTGGCTGGCTGGCTGAATTCAACATAGAACTTGGCACCGAAGTGCAACAGTTCGAGTTGCCACGTTCCAAAGAGCACACAAAAGTAGACAAGAAGATGAGTGAAGAGAATCAATAGAGTTTTGACAAGTATAAGAGTGAAACAGAATGGGTAATGGTAGAAAAGAATATGAAAGTTTACAGAGACTGAATACATCTGCGCCACTGACCACGATTTTGAGCCATGTCACCTATTGTCCCCAGCCATTGATTCTTAGAGTCCCGAGGTCCCCAACCCGGAAGTCTGCATCTCCCTACCTGACTTAGTTTAGCTGTCAAGGATTTCATGGATTGATGAGGCCATGTTTTTGTTTGGCCACCACTTACTCTTTTCCAACCTGCACCTATATCAGCTAGTAATGCCCGTCGTGGGAGGCGATGGTTAGGCATGCGCAGCACGTGATTTTTCACGCAGTTTGGTTGTTGTATTCACACCCAACCATCCCTCTTTTTTTCAGGGTTTACTATTGGCTAGTAAACTAGGCGAGGTTTAGGAGTGCATCGCCTGGGAATCTAACTCAGATCATGTGTGTGTGTGGCTGGAGGAATCTTATAATTGGATCACTGACGGACAACTGTTCCTTGTGGGTGCTTTCGAACCAGGAAAAAACAATGGATCAATGATTCATGCTTGTTAATGGTTCTCTAATTGATGTCAGTTGGTGATGAAATAGGAATTAAAAAATTATTCTTTAACTAACAAGGACAGGTGGCGACAAAACCAGAAGAGACTAGCGTATATGATATCTTTTGCTTACTAATCAATGTTTCACATGTAGTTATTTTATATAATTTCTTCTGTATTCCAATAGCAGCTTAGAGCTTTGAAGTTTCAGTAAGAGTGGTGTTATTCTTTTTACGGGGTGACGTTATTAGTCTCACGCACTCCCTATCTGCCTTCTTTACCGGACTTACTACCAGCTAAGCGAGGCATAGGAGCGTGTGGATTGGGGATCGAACCTCGGACTACGTGGGTCGTTGGTGAGCATTTTACCGCTGAGTCATCGATAGATTGAGTTCTATTATTAGACACATATGAAAACTAGTAGGCTGAAATACTTTGCACACAAACGTAGAGGCCTTAAACCAAATTGTCACAAAGCGATCGGAGGACAAATAAGGACACTGGTAATAATAAAAGTGACCAACAATGAATCATTGTCGTCTATAGCATGAACATGTTTATGTGACAGATCAATCTATTTATGCAGTGTGACACTGAAGCTTTTACCTTGAATACATTATTTGTATACATTTATCGATCCCAACTTGGGTCAAACAATTTATTCACATTTTATTACCCACCTTAGACAGTAATTGACAAAGCTGATTTCATATATGGGTTAGAGGAAAACGACCTTGATGTCAAATAAACAAACTAACGAAATGAATCTTAGATTAAAGTATTTCTATATTATTTTGCGAACAACATTTACATGTAACTATACTTTAAATGATAGTGTCTTCTGACAAAACTATTTAGTGCACACACACATGTATATCAGAAATTATGTTGTCATGGCGCTAATGAGCACAAAGATTGACATTATTACGTCACAGGATTTTCAAATGATCCTACTGAATATAATGTGTCTTTGTGTATTACTTTCTCATAATTACTCATTTGATGAGGAACTAAGAGATCAACCAATAATTATGAGCACAAAAATATTGTATTGAAGGGTATTTGTTACTGTAGTACAAGTACACCTTCAACAAGATAAACTCTATTTCCAACCGTACCTAAAGCTGAACTCCTAGGCTGGTAATTACTATGTGGCGATTTGTGTACGCAAAATACTCTGTTAGACCAAGGCATGATATATTAGAAATGAGGGACGTGTGTTACAGCTATTACACACTTCAAGAGGCTGACTGAGTGTCACTGTAACTTAAGCAATCCTGAGAAAGTTTAAGCGTAAATACTGCGGAAGATTTATTAATTTAAACGAAAAAGTTATCAAGATCTAACTGGTTTTCTGGGAATATTTTCAATGTATGCCAATTTTTCGGTGAGAAATATTTTTAGGTGAGTGAAATTCACATGATCTGTTTTTAGACTGTACTTTTAGAGCAATAAAGAGTAATGCAACTAGATTTATCGAAAAAGCTTTGATATTGAGAAAAATTATCCGTAGGCGGAGATAAAACATTCCATGATAAGGTGGGTTTGTCGCAGTGAGGTCTATACTTCTTTTTTTAATCAACAAATTCCTCTAAGAAAAGACAACTTCAAGATTTAGAACAAAGCGGAAGAGGGTGTTTACTTACCAGTTGCGGTGTCCATATTAAAGGCACACCTAACGAAGCAGCTTTCAGTCTACGATACCATGTTTCTTTCTCGCGACAGGTCCTTCCAAACAGGTAAAGAGTTTTTACAGACTTTTTATCCGGTGTCGGGAATGCACTGACACTAGTATCATCAGGGAATTCCATATCGCCAGTAGTTGATGGAACAGATGTATCGACTAACAAATCTGATACCTCGTTGGTTGTTGGATTACCCCCAGCCGTAGATAACAAGATATTCGGAAAACTTGTTGATGATGGCAGTGAATTAAGTCTCTCAGTTTTTCGCTACAGAAAATACAGAAAAGTTTCATTGTTAAAAATAACAGATACAAGAAAGCCGGTGATTAATGAGAAAGAAGCGATAAATTTATCTAAACTAGCATTATATTATTGATGAAGTCTATTTCTGGGTTTCTGTTTTTGTTGGAATATATGCTGTCGTCAACTTGAAAGTGCACAAGGAAAAATTGTGTTCAACCCAACCCCATTCAAGCAACGGGAAGACTGGTTGTTGTCAAAGTTTGATGGAATGGTGCCTCCTTTTTTCAGGAGCCTTTCGAGACCAGCGTTTTGTAATGATCTCTTGCAATCTGTCATTAAGTCGGATTAAAAAAAATTAACTGTATGGACAACGAAGTGTTTACCACCATCTACTCACTCATGAGTAGTATCTTCGTCCAGTGGAATTTCCCTGCAAAAATATCTGTGGTTTATTGCCTTCTAAAACTGAAGTGAACATCTAGGGAATTGTGGACAACAAAAGCTGACTTGTACTAAGACAAACGTCTAAAGATGACAGTGACGACTACTAATACGTATTGTTGGCGTTAATTAATAACAGATAATGTTTACGGCGACATATTTTTCGAGGTTCTTATAAGAAGTGAATTCCATTCACAGTGTCCATTTCGATAGTTTTGATATGATGCTATAATATATGTATTTTTAAGACTGCATTTTCATTCTTTCAGCCTTGAGAAATTTCTCTTATTCCTAATCATTCTTCAATAAATCGAAATCGCGTTCGTTAAAGCAGACAAAAAGTCGTTTTCTGAAATCAAAGTGCCTTGGAGGCATTCTAAACAAGTAACATTTATAAGCTGAAGAGTAATTTTGTTCGACAATATGTATGAGAACTAAGCGTAATAGACCCCCTAAGAAATAAATATGAAAGACGTTCGCAATATGAAGATATAAAATGAAAACTTTACCCACTAACTTCATATAGTAGGAGCGTTTCAGAAAAATTAAAAGCAGTAACAATCGATATTAATGTTATCTACAAGCTACTTGAGAATCTCCTGACAAAGATGCGAACAGCAGAGGCCATCATTACTTATATTCTGTAAATTTTTAAAAGATTATTAAAAACCGTATGTCTGTAAGTTTGGTGGATATCGTTTTCATGCAAAATTAGACATAAAACATTTACCTTGGATTTGTTCTGGAATGGGACAGTAATACATATGGGATACTTTCTACTCCACAGACGTTTACCAACTAATCCATACGGAAGAAGTGTTATGCTGGAATCAGATAAGTCATAAATACGTTGTTGTTTAAAACGCATAGTTGTGGTGGATGGAATCTCATCATTCCACAGAGATCGACGGGTGATATTGTGTTCAGGACGTTGTAAACGTAATTGTGTACCATCAAGTGTAATAAAAACTGAAAATGTCCTGCCAATATGATGAGTTTCAGGGTCATAATTCGTAATCTAAAAGAAAAAGATTTTGAAAAGAAATCATATTTTTTGCAATGAAAAATGAATTCATACAATTATTCCCCTTGATGAACAGCCAAGTATCAAAAGAGATAATATGCATCAATATAACACTAAAATAAATATCACACAAATTAAGAAAGGTAACACAGGATTTATGAATTTAAACGTTTGACAGGGTAGCAATGGTGGCTGGACCTGTTTCTTTTGTACGCAGAGCTCCAATTGATTTAGGAGAATTGCAGTGGTCTCTGCTGTTCGCAGTGTTCGGTATCTAGAAGTCGAGATAGGAGTACGCTGGACCACCGATAAGTAGACTCTAGACGATCTGGATTTCTCGGGTGATTTATGTTCAATGTCACACAGACTCGAAGACTTGTGGGTGAAAACCAACACACTGGCTGAATAAGCAGTTGGAGAAGACAAGACTCCAGGGGAGCATAGAGAAGACACAGGTGATGAAGATAACCAACGAACCGCAACAGCAACAACAACCAGCACCAATCAGCATCAACGGGGGAGATTTAGCAGAGGTTACCTCGTTCACTTATCGTGTCAACTACAGGCAGTCGGGACGGATGAAGATATCAAAGCAGGCCAGAATCATCAACCCGAAACCAGTTTGGAAATCTTCTGCACTCCGCCTCAGCATACAGAGCAAGTTTTTGATTTTCAACACAAATGTGAAGTCATTTCTTCTGTATGGGTCAGAAACTTGGCCAGTGTGTCACGAAAAGGATTTCCAATAGGTTGCAGCCTTTTATCAACAGCTGCCTTCGCTAGCTGCATACTGAAGACCAAAGGGCCAGCTAGGAAGAATTAGTAACAAGAAACCCTGGCAACAAACCAACCAAGAGCCGATCACTCAACAGATACGTAGCAGGAAATGGAGATGTGTCGTGCATACGTTGAGGAGGCCGTCAAATGACACCACGCGCCAGGCCATTACTCGAGTGGAATCACTATGGGAAGCGAAGAAATGGGTCGTCGGTGCGAGTGTGACATGGAGGAGATAGTGTGAGGAAGAGATGAGAGATTATGGGCAATCGTGGACGCAGATGAAGAGGACAGAAGAGAAGGGAACAAGGTGTAGATGTGATTTTGAAGCCCTATGTTTCACTCGGAACCCAAAGGAATAATAACAATCATAATAAACACTTTTCCTAGGCAAATTCCATTTTATGCTATCGTCTGGGCCTCTTGTCAGTAGGATTTCTAATAAGGCAATTTAACCTTGAGATTCTTCACACGTGAATTTGACAGCTGAATGTAATTCATTGAATTGAGATATTATTGCGTTCCTCCCTAAATCATTTCCACAAAGAATGAAGGTATCATCCACATACCGGCAATAAAATGAGAACTTTCTGATAAGGTTGTTCAAAGGACCGTTTTCTAGTTTGATCAGATGGAAACCTGACTTTTAATGAACGTCTGTCAGAGTCGAAATCCGGCGAGGAAGGTATCTGGAATTACAGAAACTGGAACTGTACAAATCATAGATAAAAACACGACAATACATCAATGGTTATTCGTGTATTTACACGTCCCACACACACATACATTAGCAAAAAACCAATGTGTATATAACATCTTTAGGTGATCAGAAAGAACACGACGAATGAAGACTGCACTTAAAAGATATAACAATTTGTCTCTTATGCCAATAATATAATATTATATCGTATTCACCACTCAGATAGACAACAATATAAAGGAATTGTGAATATAATAATTGAACATATATATATTGTTTGCAGTTGAATGACCTGATTTCTTCTCAATGAATTACTTTTCCATTAAGATAAGAATAACAAATAAAATATTGATTCTTTATCCAGTCACCAAACGCTTTCTTGATTTGCCACTTTATCTCTTTCTAGCTAAGTAGCCATTACAAGTGTCTTTTTAAAATAAATTGATCAGTATATCATCATATCATCAATTACAATCATCTAGGTTGAGTTGTGAAAAAGAAAAAAAGAGGTCTATCTGTTGCTCTGGAAAAGTGTTTTTCACTTAATGAAACTTGAAAGTGAATTTGACAGACACTTACTGATAACAAGCATCATTGACAAGCTTAAATTCAAGAAGATTACCAGTTTCACTGCTTAACAACTTGAAACTTTTCTTAAACTGATCAATCTTAAACTATGTAGCCATAGAGATAATTTTTTATTGTTTTAGGTAGGCACGTGGGATTAACGTACATGATCACAACAGAAGAAAATATATATCCGAGTGACTGAAATGAGCTAAATTGTCATGATGAAAATAAAGGCTACATTGTAAATGCAGTGAAGTTAAATATAGAATATGCAAGAGATATAGCCAATTACCATATTACAACAGAAGTGAAACTAAGATGTTGGAGTTTGATTCATTTCAATGTACACACTATGCCACTAGCAGAATTCTGTTAAAAATTACTGAAAGTCAAAGAATACTGACTGACAACCATTTCGGCCTGATGAAAGGTTCTTCAGCAGTACTAGGATGGTGTCGTAAACTAAACTCAGGATCAGGTAAATATGTTACGATTCAAAGATTGAATCAGTAAGAGATTGTGGGCCGATGATTACTGTAGTGTGATTATCTCCGAGTGTTAGCATTAACTCTTCTTTAAATTGATTTGATGAACTCCACAAGTTACAAAAAGTCAAGATATGACTTGTAAGAAACGTCTATTGAAATAAGATGAAAAAAATGAGTTTCGCATAAGGCTTGATTAATCCACTTACTCTTGTATAGTTATATACCTCAAACAAAAGGTTCTGAAGGTGGTTTAGACTATCGTTTTTGAAAGAATGGAAAACATGCTAAACCAATATGTCATGTTGTTCTTATTTCTCTAGAGAGATCAACCAACAGTCAATCATAATGGATCATCAACCCTCTCCAAGTCTTAGCATGAAAAGAGGATTAAAGCGGTCTTATTTTCTCAAAACCATTTAATTTAATAATTACTATCTCATCACAGAGTAAAGCAGTAACACTGATAATTTCAGTTTGTTTTGTCCTGTTGCATAACATTCCACTCAATTTTAATTTTCACCCATTGAGGTGAACTCACTATTGAGGTTCCAAATCTACTAAATCAAATTATTTTATCTATTTTTTAATCTTACTCCACTATTCACCCTCACGACCTTCCAAAGCCTCAGGATGGTCGGGTGTGGGTGCCTTGCGCTGCGGGTTGGCCACCCCTCCGCACAACTCTTGAAATGCTCCCATATGACCGGGCGTCTTACATAACCTCTCCTGAGGAAGTCCTACTCACTGCCTTCACGTGGCGGAGGTGTTTTTCACCAAAGTGAGAGGGCGAAAGCGGATGCCCGGCGCTCTTCACCGGGTTGACTGTCCATTGGATGACAGTCTAGGGGAGATGGCTAAACCCTGATTCCAAACCTCCAACGACTGGCGTATGAAGCTCACTGGAGCTCACCGGCAGACGTATGGACAAAGGGCTTGTTGGATGTCCTGGATGTCTGGCCCCATTCAAAAAGGCGTATGAACCGAACTCCGGTCACCGGCTGCCAATGGATAGTGGACTCCCTACTCCACTCCTACTGCCTTGTAGGCCACACTTGGTTGTGTAAAGGCTAGAGCTGCACTCTCAAACAAAAGGCCGAGCGATTCTGGGGACATCACTCGTACCAAATTCCCATGAAACTTCATGAACTCTCCTCATCAGATCGCCGCGCCTGGGCAGCGATGATTCGAGATGTTCATGAAGCCGGCTCATCCTCCCGTAGGAGATAGCCGTAGTAAAGTAAAAAGTAAGTATTCACCCTCACCCTCCTGATATGTATAAATTAACTCTGTTGTTCTATCTTGTATTTCGTCTCTAGTCCATCCTTGTTTCCAAGCGAAATCAAAACTCCATCTCTTTGTCTAATAACTATATAAACAGTTACTCCCTTAACACTAAATAATTGTCTACTTACAGTATCTTTGAAATTATGGTGCCTATACTTTGTACATATAACTTGAAGTCATTGTAAAACGTATGTTCAGAAATTTTGTAACACATAATTAATTTATTTAGGATGTACGCAGTTGAAGCGAATCCACGAAATAAAACGAGTTCGTATTACCCTGTGAATATGTTTGTTCTTTCTTCATTCCAGAATTTCAGTTTATTTGTGGGAGTGGTATAGTCAGTGAATGAATCATTGTAGATAATGGATGATTACAGTTGTAAGGCATATTTACCGCTTTTACCGTGTAAAAAAATATTTTTCCTAGCAGTGTCTATCTTCTCTGTGTCAGCTACAGCAGCATGAATAAACAATCTCCGCTTTCTTATATTTGAACGTTATGCCGTTACGTTACGATCCAAATGCATTAATGTAAGTGATGATTTACCAGAAATCACTCTAACCCATGTTTACGCGAACACCATTCACAATGTATATGGAAAAAAAATCATTCATCAGAACATAAACTGTGCAACAGCCTAAAAGTAGTTATACATCAATAGACAGTGTACTGTAGTGTAGTCTCAGATAGTAAACACATAAAGAAAGCTACATCTCCATAAGCTCCTGTAGATATGCACGTACCCTCGGAATTCCATAAAGAAGCACCCTGCCAACCAACAGTAAGGATATGGTCACAAGTAAATAGGAGCATAATTAATTCTAGCAGACAGAAAAATGTTTCAGAAATCAAACGCTGGCTAACGAAAAATTACGATGAAAAGAGAATGAGAGTCATGTTTTGAAGAAAAGAAAAACAAATATTGTTCACAAAACCGAATCTATTCACAGTATGAAAATCACTAAAGAGGAGAAAATAAAATGGTTATAATTCGCAACGATATTACAATGAATCACTTTCATGTGCATAGGTTTTTTTTCCTTCACGTTCCCCAGTGGAACATAGGGCTTCAAGTTCCTGTAGCAGTGTTTATTTTACAGGATGGGGTTGCTAGCCTCATGCCCAACCTCCCCTCTTCACCAGCATTATTTCTGGGTTAGCGAGGTGAAGGAGTGCGTCGGCCGGGGATCGAACCCCGGACCATGTGCATGGTCGGCGAGCGTCCTAACCGCTATGCCACCGACGCACATGTGCATAGGTAAGCTTTTAATACTAACCTGAATAGTGTTACTTCAATACAATCGATGATAAATGCGCCTGATATTAACCTGTATTAATAGTCTTCTTCTTTTCTTTATCTGCTCTGTATCGAAAACACAAGATAAGACTGCCTTCTATCACTGACGATATTCCTAAATGTGGCGGGTCGGATCAATCAACAGACGGTAGGGACAGACATACGTTGAACAGATAAGAAGACTATAGAAAATCTGGAGTTCGCGGATAAAGTATGTTTAATGTCACATTAAACTCCAAGACCTACTACAGGCGAAAACCAACGAGCCGACAGAAGAAGCAGTGAAGACAGGGCTTCATTGCAGCTCAAGGTGTTCAGAAGACTCTGCATTTTGTCAGCGTCCTCACCTAGAAGGACTATATCGTCTGCATATTCTAAGTCAACGAGATTATTCCCTGGTAGCAAGTCAATCCCTGAGTCACTGAAGTGAGTTAGGGTTAAGTCCATTAGTACGTCTATGATGAAGTTGAATAGAAATGGGGATAATGGGCATCCTTGACGGACGCCACTAGTCGGACACCACTTCAGATGACAACTCGCCATAAGCCCTCACCTGGCTGCATGAGTACGAGTAGAGTGCCTTAATCAGTGCAATGTATTTTCTCGGCATTCCCTTAACATCCAAGCATCGCCAGAGAACCTCTCGGTCGACAGAATCGAATGCCGCCATTAGGTCAAGAAATATAATGATTGTTGGAGGCCGGTTAGAATGCCTATGCTCTAGAATCTGTCGGAGGGTGAAGATATGATCAATACACCCTCTTCCTGGCCTAAAGGCTGCCTGGTTTTCTCGTGTTTCTCGACAGGACTTCAAGTGAACATACAGAAGACAGAGGTGATGAAGACACTTAACCAACAACAACAACATCAAGCATCAATCAATATTAACGAGAGAAATGAAAAGGAAATTATTTACTTCAGTTATTTAGGCAGAACTAGTCTCAACTACAAGAGGCACACACCATAGGAAATCAAGGCCAGCTAAGATCAATAAAACAAGACAAACCTTCATTATTTCGAAGGTAGTGTGGGAACCGAAGCCAGTGAGTATGAGGAAGTAGATTTGGATGTGCTGCTGAAGCTATATATTCTACTCGGAACCCAATGGAATAATAATACAAATAATTTAGCTTGCTGATAGTTCAAATGAGATTAGAAGTAAAGTGTACATAATTAACTTAATTTTGGTTCGATCAATTAGAAAGACTGGTAATCCAGTAAGGTAGTGTGTCCAAAGACTATTAAATAATTAGGCAACTATTTCATAAAAAGATGACAAAAACCCACTCAAATAGATACTACGTTGTTACAAAGGTAAAGGTGTATAAATATTCAGAGATAACTTTAATCTTTTAACTTACCTCATTTAACCAGCCTTTATAAATTGGTCTTCCACTTTTATCATATTTAAAGCCTAGACTGTTTCCCAATGGACCAGATGATGTTGACTTGTTAACATCTTCTTCAAGCATATTTGGCACAGTGAAATTAGGTAGATTTCTCAGTTGTACACATTTATTACCAGGTTTGTTGTTCGCGATAGCAGTAGTAGTAGTAGTATTAGACAACAGAGAAGACATATTTGGCATGGCAGGTGAATAGATTGGCCACCATTGTGAGGCTTGGTAGTAGCCTTCTTGTTCTTGTCGATAATGCAATGAACAACACAACTGATTCAATGGTAAGCCTGATATAGGACACAGAGTTTGATTAGTACACTCGGTAGAAGTATACAGATAATTATGCAAAGAAATACACGTATATGTAAGCAGGCAACCGATAATTAGACCCCATACGAATCCACTAAATAGCCAATAAGTTGAAAATAAACCCAATGCACAAGACGAGTATAGTATCCAAGACGAAAATCTGTTACAATATGAAAGGAAGTAGAATAGAAAGAGAGAGAGACTATATGATTCGAAGTGCACGAGTATATTTATCCATAAAACTTAAAATGTAATATAGAAGGTAGAACAACGTGGCACTTTGAAAGCAATGTGAAAATAATGTCCGTGATACATAAACCGAAGGTATGAGAGCAATACTGTCATAATACTTTTAAATGGAAGAACAATTCTGCTGGAAACAGGTCTTTGATCTGATGTAAATGTAGTTTATTATATAAATAACCAACTGAAATTTTGCAATTTAGGGTTAGAAGTCAGTTTTCAAAACACTACTTATTTACCTTTCCTTGTGAAGTTAGCTTAGGTCATCAGTCTTTACAACACAGATAAACGCAATACTCTATTATATGAAACTACAAGAAAAGAAAATAGATACAAGTGTCATGTTGAGCAACTTCACAATTGAACAGGAGGACAGTGTCAACAATAGGAAACATAGGAATAGCCACTACAATCCGAAAACTCGTGAATATAAACCGCACAGCTTTTCCGTTTCGAACAGTAATTTCATGAACTAATGGAGGTTTCAGCATGAAGTGAACTTATTTGAATTCTCTAAGAATGACATAATTGTATCTCCTGGTCAAAGTGGGCGTCCCCTTCGAATCCGAATCCAAGAACACATATTAGCTGTAAAAAGGCATGATATCTATTCTTTCATATTAATGCATGTAGATACTTACGGACACCAATTGGACTGGGATAATGTGGAAATTTTAAGTGGAGGAAACACCAAAAATGCCAGGGAATTTCTGGAATCCTGGTACTCAGGTGAATCAGCAATTAACACATACAATACTTTAATTGAACACTGGTTAGTAACTAGTGTAGTGTATCTAGTCCTCTGTTTAATGCAGACCAAATTCTATCAGTCAAGTTTGCCGATTGCCTCCAGCCACCTAATATCAACAGTTCAAAGTGCCCTGTGATGGGGAGTCGCCTAGAATGGTGGCTACATTTACCTAGGACTAGATACATTGCACTAGTTACTGGTTAGTGCCCAATCAAAGTATTCAGTACAGTCCTACAGGAATTCGATGGCGAGCCCGAATAGCTCAGTGGTACCGTCTCTAACTGTAGCCCTTGGTTTCACGGGTTCGAGTCTCAGAAGGGACATGAGTTCCTTCAAGGTTGCATATACGCCTTGCTGACGAGTGCCAACTAACAAGAGACCTAGGTCCAAGGCTTCCTGCCGATAGCCTTCAGCCACATAATATCAACAAAACACATAAATATAGACCAAATTTACCAATAAAAAGTAAATCACATGACAAGTAAGTTCAAATTCCAAGTGAATAATAATGATCAATAGGGACGTAAACTAACAACAACCAATCACGACAATAGTTGACAGGAGATACAATTATATCAGTCATGGAGAATTCAAATAAGTTCACTTCATACTAAAACCTGCGCTGAAGTTGTTGTCTAGAGGGACGACGAAAGCTTCGCAATTAAATCAAACAGCACAGAGAATACGACTAATTCAAAATTTTGTGAACTGCTATCATACATTTCTTCTAATCGAATTCAAACGCAGAACATTGGGATAGGTAGTGGTAGTTTAGTATATGGTAATTAAATCATAATAATATATTATTAATATTATTATTATTGTTCCCTTGGGTTCCTAGTGGAACATAGGGCTTCAACTGCACGTCTCCACTTGCTTCTGTCTTCTGCTGTACTTTTCACTTGCATCCATGTTAGTCCATGCTGTTTCAATTCCTCTTCACACGATCTCCTCCATGTCAACCTTACACGTCCCACTCGCCGCTTCCCTTTCGGGTTCGACTCGAGGGCCTGACGCGCGATGTCACCCAGCGGCCTCCTCAGCGAGTGACCAATCCATCTCCACTTTCCCCTGCATATTTGTTGGGCGATTGGTTCTTGTTTTGTTTGTTCTCATAGTTTCTTGTTGGTGATTCTTTCCGGCCATCTGATCTTCAGTATAGAGCCAAGACAGTTGTTGATAAAGGTCTGCAACCTGTTGAAAATATTTTTGGTGACCCGCCAAGTTTCTGATCCGTACGTATAGAAGAACTGACTGACTTGACGTTTGTATTGAAAATCCGAATCACTTTGTTGTTGATGCAGGCTGAGTGACGAAGATTTCCAGATTGGTTTCAGGTTGATGAAATAATAATACACAGTAGTGAATATTACATTTGCACTGATTACATAGATTTCTATCGTAAGCAACGTATCCACATAAACTACAATGCAGAGACAAGTTTTCAGAGAATGAAGGCTCAGAGAACTGCACACAAAACAATAAAAGACATTATGATTCCAGGAGTCGCAGCTACAAATAAGGATAGTGAAATTTAAGATAACCATGCTGCACCGCACCAGCCACTACACCCGGAAAATAAATTATTTTTGTGAATAAACCACTATAAGGATGAGTGTTGTCCACATGCAATTTGAAGTATTAGTATAAACTATATTATGCATAATTGAAGAGACTGAAGATTATTCCCAGAGCTTATAACAACAGTTAAATGCAGTGCTCATTGCTAAATTAGCCGTAAAGCATTTGTAATGAAATTTGTATTTCTGCACTGAATATTGGGTTGGCATCAGTGAAAGCCAACGCAACAAAGGCAAGGACAATAATTTGCATTTTCCACAGGGTGAAACAAATAGGCAGGAAGAAATGGAGATGGATTGGACACACTCTGAGGAAACCAGCAAGTGACATCACTAGACAAGCCCTCGAGTGGAACCCGAAAGGGAAGCGACGAGTTGGTCGTCCAAGGGTGACCTGGAGGAGATCATGTGAAGAGGAATTGAAAGCGTGTGGGCAGACTTGGAGCCAGGTGAAAACTACAGCAAAGAACCGAACGCAATGGAGACGCATGGCTGAAGTCCTATGTTCCTCTAGGAATTAAAGGAAATAATAATAATAATACAGGGTGTCATATAGAGAAAATATGAAATAAATAATAGGGTGAAAAATAAGAAAGCCATTCTTTAAATTTCTACGAGGGATCAAGTTTTCAAAGAAAAATATACATACAGAAGTGCATTGAGAAGACCTATTGTTGAATACTTCATTCTTGATGTTACAGTGTAATTTGTCAACTATATTAATCAGTTGCACAAAGTTCAAAATTATGAGTCACTTCGTATCATGAAGTAACAACGAAAATCTAATGGGAAAATGTTTTCGTTCGTTCGTTTACTTCGGCTATCTCCTACGGGAGGATGAGCCGGCTTCATGAACATCTCGAATCGTTTGTAAGAGAGTTCATGAAGTTTCATGGGAATTTGGTACGAGTGATGTCCCCAGAATCGCTCGGCCTTTTGTTTGAGAGTGCAGCTCTAGCCTTTGCACAACCAAGTGTGACCTACAAGGCGCAGTAGGAGTGGAGTAGGGAGTCCACTATCCATTGGCAGCCGGTGACCGGAGTTCGGTTCATACGCCTTTTTGAATGGGGCCAGACATCCAGGACATCCAACAAGCCCTTTGTCCATACGTCTGCCGGTGAGCTCCAGTGAGCTTCATACGCCAGTCGTTGGAGGTTTGGAATCAGGGTTTAGCCATCTCCCCTAGACTGTCATCCAATGGACAGTCAACCCGGTGAAGAGCGCCGGGCATCCGCTTTCGCCCTCTCACTTTGGTGAAAAACACCTCCGCCACGTGGAGGCAGTGAGTAGGACTTCCTCAGGAGAGGCTATGTAAGACGCCCGGTCATCTGGGAGCATTTCAAGAGGTGTGCGGAAGGGTGGCCAACCCGCAGCGCAAGGCACCCACCCCCGACCATCCTGAGGCTTTGGAGAAAAATGTTTTTGAAAATGTTTTCCCACATAATTTATGTTTTCTATGGTGTTTCAGAGGCTGCACAGCTATACTCCGTGTTCAACATGCTACAGGACATAGGAAAACTAAATCCTCATAGAGTGATAAAATTCACTGTTTACTATTAATATGGATTTCTGTATGTCTCTTGACACATTGCCTTTAAAACGTACGTACGCGTATAAGCTATTTTGACCTCATTTTCAGCCGTAGATAAGAATAAATATTTTCTTCTCATAATGCTTTGTTGGACATAAAATCATATGGCAGTGATATCTAATTTCCATCGAAAGAAAACCTGTTCTATTGCTTACTAGTCAGTCCTTCTGTTTACTAATCTAGTTTCAAATCATTTCAAGAATTGAATAAGAAAATGGAAAATACTAAGAAGTAGACGTAGGAATTGAAAGATGTATGGAATTTACAAGTGACATCGAATTTACTCACTATTTTCAAATGCAGATTCTTATTAGTTCGCAACTAAAGTGAATCTGAGAACAAATCGATACAGACTCGGACTGATAGATAGTGAAAAGAGTCTATGTCTTACTAGATTCCAAATGATACTCTGCTAACAATGTAGAGCATGTCTTTGTGGTTGATGATAAACATAAGTTGAGTTTCACGACGCATTAAACCAGTTGTGCGATTATACCACCAGAAACACACATGAAATTAAAGGGTAAATTAAGTAAGGTCATCAGTTGACTGAAGCTGAAGACAAGCTGTACAACCTGAATTTTAGATCCAATGGGGTCTTATTAATATAGCACTTATGATTTCTACTGGGAAAATAGTTTAAAAAAAACTGTGATAAACACAAAACTGAACACTAATTAACTAGCCGTGTTCAACTCCTTTGATACATTCTTCCTTATGTGGGTTGGGTGAATGAGGATAAATCTGAATTTGGTTTCAAAAGTATAGAAATTTGGAACGAAGGAAACTGAGAGAAAGCCACGAAACTTCCACGACCTACGACACTCAGGTGGTAGAGGACTAATCAATACGTTTGCTGACAACACCTCAACTTACATACTCCTGAAGATATGAATATTACAACGTAACAGACGAGATCGACGAGGCAGAAAGTGGAAACATATGTCCCGTAAATGGAAAAACAAAAAAATGACACAACTAATCACTCATATTCTTTTTTTATTCCTTTACGTTCCCAGTGGAACATAGGGCTTCAAGCTAGAGGCTTGAAGTTTCTGTAGCAGTGTTTATTTTTACAGGATGGGGTTGCTAGCCTCACGCCCAACCTTTCCTCTTTACCTGTCTTATTACTGGCTTAGAGAGGTAAAGGGGTGCGTCGGCCGGTGATCGAACCCCGGACCATGTGTATGGTCGGCGAGCATCCTAACCGCTGTGCCACCGACGCACACACTCATATTATGAAGAAACTTAATAACTCAATTCTTTTGGAAATAGTGATAAAATTATTATTATCAACAAATCGTCAAAACATTTATGTTCTAAAGTTAACATAACTGTTAAGTGCTTATTTTTCTTACATCTTTATTTCACCGAAAAAGATATGATCACGACATCTCGCTTCCGATAATATATATATATTGGCAAGTTGAGATGGTGTTCTTTTGACTAAGAGTAATTAGATTGTTCATTGGATGCTACTTACGATGGTGATATACTTCCGAAAGAGAAGTGTGTGTTCATAGTTGTTTCACAATCGCTCAAAATATACGACAACCGTGCAACACAATAGTGACACATTAAAACAATAGTTATATATGTGGAAATTTCAACGCTTAAAAGTATACAAAAGTATTTCGCACATATTGTTTTCAATTTTGATCACGAATCGACTTCAGGGAATACTGCACATCTACATCGTCTTAGTTCGGGACTCCTCAACAGTACACTCACCCATGACCCCACTGGGGATCAAACGCAGGACGTCCAGGTTATGTGCCGAGCTTGTTGACCATTCAGCCACTGGGACGAAATCCAGTGGCCCATCAACGCTAACTCCTCGCAATTCGCGATATAGCTCAACTCTCGGTCAATGTCATGAGTATCTATTCTCACGGTCAACTTGATGGACAGAGCTTATTATGACTACCCAGGGAGCTTCAATCAGTAGTCAGTAGCTAGTAAGCACTTAAAATTACTGGAAATCAATCAAATCCCTCTGAGGCATCACTTGAAAATACTGTTTTTAAAGTGTATATGAGATTCGCTACTAATGCCTTAGACTTTTAGCGTTTGATTTAGAGTTTTTAATTTCTGTACACGCCGAATACCTGATTGTTAGTAGCACCTGTTTCAGTCTTAAAAGAGTTTGTAAATGAACACGTGAGTAGAAATGCACACGATTATGTTACTATTTCACAAATATCTCATTCTTATTAAGTAATATTGACTAATGCAAGGTATGAAATGATGTGTACACTCAGATGGGAAATTACATAGACATGAAAAAATTATCTTACTTATGTCTTCTGGGTAAACTCTGTAGTTTTGATTTTGTGGTTCCAAGTGGACTGTGTTTTGGATTTATTCCAGCATTTGGAGGCTCTGATGACGTAGCAATGATATGCCGCTGTTTAACTTCTGTATTTCCCAGTGAAGAATTAGGAGGGTTAGAAGGAATAGATTTGGGAATGGTAGCAGGTAGATGTATAGACTCAGTAATCTTGCTAGAAACCTGACCACTGTTTGTAGTTGTAGGTGTAGAAGAGGTGGATAAAAATGTGTCACTTTTAACTTTCGCGACAGACGACGATTGAGAAGCGTCAGAAACTTTTTTTACCTGCCAAATTGACAAGAAAAAGAAGGGTAATTAATATATAATTAGACTTTTCCAAGAAACCCCAGCCATCAGAAGAAACCCGATTCAATGAATAGCAAAAGGAAAAATACTTAACAATTAGTCCATGTTAAATTTATTTCAATACATAATTCTAATTAAAAGACTGTTAATGACTAGAGAGAGCAAATTAGTAAAAGTTTAAGATATTCGTAATTCGATTCAGCTAACATAACAGATTGATTTAAAGGAGTAGTGAACAGCATTTGTAGTTTACTAACAGGTACACTAAATACCATCTAGTTCGTGGTGACAGAGAGCGAAAATTCCTTCAGTATGACAGATGAGTACATGTCGTCTTTCTGTAGACCACTTGCGTTTTGAGCACGGTGAATAGAATGCCCAGTTAGCATGGATTAATGAAGAGCAATTTACAAACCAAGGAAAAAAATTGCAGGCTTTATGATCACTTTAAGATTACGTAAGATGAATGCTTAAATTATTTAACTGTTTTTGTCAATAATTAGTAGTAAAACAATTAAAAGTTACGTAATATGCAATGGGACTAAAGCTACAGAAAACAACAAAAAGTCAACGCTTCAATAACTTCGTTGAATAGCTAAAGAGAAGTAAGAAACATTGGATTTATTATTATTATTGTATCCTTTAATTCCTACAGGAACATAGGGCTTCAGCCACCCGTCTCCATTGCGTTCTGTTCTCTGATAGGGTCTTCACCTGGCTCCAAGTCTGCCCACACGTTTTCATCTCCTCTTCACATCACCTCCTCCAAGTCACCTTTGGACGACCAACTCGCCGCTTCCCTTTCGGGTTCCACTCAAGGGCTTGTCTAGTGATGTCACTTGATGGTTTCCTAAGAGTATGGCCAGCCAATCCACCTCCATTTCTTCTTGCCTATTTGTTTCACAATCGGTTCCTGGTTGGTTCGCTCATTGCCAGAGATTTCTGTTGGTGATCTTTTCTGACCATCTGATCTTGAGTATTGAGCGAAGACAACTAGATGTTGATGAAGGTCTGTAGTTTGTTGGAGATGCTCTTTATGACGCGCTGGCCAAGTCTCTGATCCGTATAGTGAGTAGCACATACTTCACATTGGAGTTGAAAATCCGGATCTTATTTTTGATGCTGAGTGCTGTTGACCTCCACACAGACTTGAGAGTAGTAAAAGCTTGTCTTGCTTTTCCGATTCTTGCTTTGATATCCTCGTCAGTTCCGCCTGCCTGTAGTTGAAACGATGCTTCCCAGGTAGGTAAAGGAGGTTGTTTCTTTCAGGTTCCTCCCATTTATGCTGATTGTTGTCATTGGATAGAAAATAATTATTCAAATCTGTCGATAATCACAACTATGACAACGAACAAATGCAAGCAACTTTTAAAATTATGATAAGCCAACTGCAGTTATAGAGTTGATACCTTTATTCTTCTTGATCGGAAAACTGACAAGAATGAAGTGCTGAAGGGATTTAGAGAAGTAAATAACATGAGGCGATATCATATTTTTTAGATATTCTACTGAACAAATCTCTGATTCAGCAGGGACGCTTACAGAAAGCCTGCAAGATAGTTAACACATTTGTTGAGTTTAGTACCCCACTCGCTGTAAAATCGGTTTGGTCAGGTACCTCACAAATAAGGAGTGAAGGACCTGCACCTATGTTTCAGTGGGAAACGAACTGAGTTAAATCCATAATAGGCTTATCAACATGGAAGGTCGTTCAAGGGCAGAAGGTCCGCCAACCACGCACATGGTCCAGGTTTGACTCCAAGCTGATGCAATCTTAAAATTCACCTAGTTTACCAGATGATAATTGGCCCGGAAAGATGAAAGGCTGGATGTGAGGCTAGCAACCCCATCCCATAAAAACAATAATACTGGTAGTGAAACTCCGGAAGCTTGATGTCCTATGTTCCACTAGAAACATAAGAGGAATGAAAGAAATTTATCAGGAGACACATGAACAATTTATGTAACAAGGTAAAGCCAATCGTAGTTAAAGAGAAACATTTACTCATGAAGATCATTTTCATTTGAACAGTCTATCCATAATAAATAAATAAAGCACTATTTCAAACCAAGATATATAGGACAGTTTTTAGTATGCTTATTATATGACATCTCATCACTAAACAATATTAAATCCACTGTTTCTCTGGCTTCAGTAAAACCAGGTGCAAACGATGTTTTACCAAATGCATAACGAATGCAAAAGCTAAGGTATGGACAAGCATTATAAGTCATAAATCTGAAAAAATAAAGAGGATATTCATAATCAATTCGTAGGAAATTAAACAACACCTTTATATGGCTCTAGGTAAGACTGGCGTGCAACCAGAATCTCCTACACACAAACCACGCGAACACTTTTGATTTAGATTTACTTCAAGATAGTTGCCTGTTTTTTTTAGGAATTCTTCTATCTCTCTTAGCATATTTCTCAACCAATCAGGTACATACTCATGTAACAGGATATGAGCTACACCTATTATTTCACTGCCCAGATTCTACGTCCCTGAGTAAACTACCTGATAAAACCTTAAGTATCACGCACTAAGAAGCAATTTAAGTAGCAGTTAAAATATACACACCAAAAGTTTCTTACATCAATAGTGGAATTTGTTGAAAACTTTTTCATATCATGAGAATCCAGTTGATTACCCATGACAGAGTCAGTGATTTTATCTGATTCACTTAGCAATACACTGCTACTTCCAGACTGATTGACAATGGGAATATTGACAACAGTTGTACTATGGATTTTAAAATCCGTTGATGAACTTGGCAACACTTCTGAAAGAGAGTGACGATCAGAGTCATCGCCCAATGGATTGTCATCTGCAGTGGATTTTAAAGAAAATGAAGTATGACTGGTTGACTTTGACGCAGATACATCATTCGAGCTAGAAAAAAGCGAAAACAAAACAACAAAAAATCAAAAAAGATCTATTACTGAAATTTTAGACTATTATTATTGCCAGCATAGAAGAATAGTCTGAAGCCACTTTTATTTACGTAAAAATACGCTTAAAAATGAACGTGAATGAGCAGTAGAGACACAGAAAAGCAAGACAAAGCATATACATGGAGACGAAATTGACCTATGGTATTGAAAACTCAGTGAATTAAACACAGGTGATAGACTGAAGTCCATACCTCTTTTTATTCACTAAGAGTGTGTAAATGAAGATGTTTGAGAAAATTTGAAATAAAATAAAAAAATAAAATCACAAACTGAAGCGTTACATGGGAAACATTTCACAAATCTAACGAAGCGTATTTTTATTCTGATACAATAAACCTGTGAAAAATTCATAAGTGAACTGTAGCAACAAGTCAGTTAGATCATTTATATGAATATATGTATGAAAGCAGGAGAAAGTATAACAGGTGAAAGGACTGTTATTTTGAGCAATCTGTTACACTGTGATATCCCTGAGAATTGTGCCAACATTCTAAATACTCCATAAAACAACTCTGTTTCGATGACATTCAAAAAAATGTGCGCCATGATAGTGTGGGTGTGCTACCTAAAGAAAGACCTAGAGTGTGCAAACAATATTTTCTTGTCGTGTACTACCGCATAACCGACCCAAAAAGCACTCTGCCAGTTGGTATCCATGTTGAGAAGCATGATTTGTAAGTTGCACCGTTCAACTGCAGAGGCATCTTGTAAGACTATCACAAGCCTGCAAGCAAAATTTGGAAATAAATCGAAAAGATCATGTATGTAAGTAGTCGTATGAACGCTGGAGGTGTAACAGGGGAAAATTCTGATAACACGGAGATATCCAGGGCAGCTTACGTCCACCACTAGCATCATCGCGTCGATAACCTACTCTTCAAAGGTGGGTTCACAATGGTTCAGTATGAGCAGGTTTGCCCTAAACCTGTAAATCCTGTCCTTTTCAAAAAGTGGGTGTGGTGCGACTCTCAATGTTTGACAATCTCTGTCCCCACAGAACTACTTGCATTTCGTGGTGTCAACGTGTAAGAGATCCTCAGGTCCAATGACGTTTGTTTAGTCATAATGGAAGTCGGCACTTAACTAGTGGTGGCTTGGAGTGAAATTCAGGACGTTCATCCCAGTCTTCTCGGGACTCGTTATCTGGAATTCGCCTGCATCCTAGTGAATGCTGGTGTTCCCACTGATGGAGACTATCTTTCAATAGGTGATGTCATACTGGGAAACCAGTATCGATGACTTGGATACATGCCACAAGTGTCATCCCAGAAGCTTCCATACCACCTTTAGACTGGTCGGGAGTAGTCGACCCGTACTGTGACGCCTTGCAACTAAGGACAGGGGTTGGGTTAAAATTTGTTGCGGCTTCATGATTTCCAGTGTATGGGGTTCAAGAGATTATACGACTGACTTGCTCGAAATGTCATCAGATTGGTGTCAGAATCCAGACCAATGGTATCATTTCTTTCTCCCTCTTTTCAATAGTAATACGAAGTAACAAACGATCTTTTGAATGTTCTTAGCAAACAAGCATATCTACTGTTAGTCTGTTGTCCGTCAGCTGTTTTCTTCCTCTTTTCCGTAGTTTTATTTTATTATTTCGTCGGAAGCATTGTTGATGTCCATGAAACACTATATTTGTATTTAAAGCAGAAAAGTCCTGCAGCATCAACTTACATTTGACAGAAGGCAATCACACACATACACACACACACACAATATACTCAGATATTTACTCAGAGTGCTTTAGAGATCTCATCATTCTACCGGTGTCTCCACTTAAAGGATAATATCATCTTTGTTGTGCAGACTAACGAAACTTTCGCCAGAAAGCAAATCAATTAAAGACTCCGTAGTCGATCAAATTCCCATTCATCAGTACATCTATGATGAATTTAAATAATGTTAGCTTGCATATCTGACAGAAAACAATGGTTAGAGTCACTTCAAACGACAAATCTTCATAAGCTCTTACAAGGCTACATAGATTAGAGCAGAGTCCTTTAATTACCACAGTTTACTCCTTCGACAATCTTTATAGCCAGACAATATCACAACACAAATCGATTGAATCAAATTTAGCCTTTAGGTCATAGCACATCGTGAATACCACTATGACTGTGTCTCATAACCTGTCGAAGGATGACGAATTGGTCAATGCACCCTGATCCGCGCCTGAAACCTGACTGCTTTTCTCAATTTTGTTACCCTCAAACCAACTTGGGTACTGTTTTAGTATGTAATTCCACTTTAATTTGTTTATTATAGGTATATCACACAGTGAAACAGTGAATAATCATGTAAATGATGCTATGTTACCGTGTGATATATCCAATACATGGATTAATACGAAATTAGTCTTAGTATGAATTTGTAACTGAGTTCTTACATACTATACCCTATATTAGTGAAGCAGATATCCCAGTAATTATCATAATTTTACCTTAGTAACCTTAGGCACTAAACGATGAATTATGCATATTATAAAAGGGTTAGTGGCACTACTTAGTTGTCCAAAAATCGATAGCTTGTAGTGAATTCCATGTCAGCACTATATGAATGCTAAGTATATCTAATAATGAGTCACATAAAGTCGTTTGTACACATACATGTGCATACTTTGGGTAAAGACTGTCTAAGAGGCAGAAGTATGATTTGGCTTCAGATTACTTAAGAATCTAAGAATTATAATGGCAAAATATATTTATCTACAAAATATACATTAAAACAGACATTGAGCTTTAAATAACTCGATAGTACGAGATGTTGTGGCTCATGAATTTAGAAAACTGACTTGCAAAAAGTTTAAATCCCCTTTCATTGTCAGCTAGCTGGTGTCATGATGATTTATACTTTAGGCGTGGCTAACTGCTAAGTATGTAACATGCATGTGACTATTCAGCAACATAAACCACAACATACAACCATAAAAAGACATAAAGAAAAGGACAAACGAGAACGATAAACACAACTGAGTTCGATTTCTTATTATGTTTGTCATATGATTTGTTTGAAGGTACTATGAAATCTGAATTCAGAGTACTTTGTTGATCAATTTAGCCATTTAATTAACACAGGATTCTTGAATCTGGAATTATTATTGCCTTATAAACATTATTTCAGCCATAAAAGCCTCGCCTATTGTTCAAAGGTGTACTTGTTGGTAAAACAAAAATGAATTAAGGTGACCAAATGTTTTATGATCACGATAAATGTGCATTGTCGCCTTAATAAAGGACTATAAAGCCACACCTACATTAACTAACTTGTCATTTGATGAAACATTTAGATACAAAAAAAATGTAGTCAAGTGTAACACAGATTAAATCAATGCTAAGGAAACAACAGTTTTCCATAGAATAATGGAACATCCTAATTGAAAGGGACCTTGACAATGGTCCTCTAATTGTAAACAAGATTGCAAAGGCTGTCTCTAATCGGAAACGAGGCGAGGCAGCAGGACCTGATGGAATGACTCCAGAGGCGTTTAAGGACTATGGCGACAAACTATTGTCTTGGTTAACTGAGGTATTATGTAGTAGCAGAGAACCAGAAATAGTTCCGTTAGACTGGTGTAGATTGTTGATTATCTTAGTTTACAATATGGAGATAAGTCTCCCTGTGATAATCATAAAGTGACAAGATTGACTAATATAGTATCAAAAATTATAGGTTCAACAATCATGTACAGACTAAGCGGTACTCGAGAAGAACAAACACGGGAAAGCAGACAGGCTTCATGCCTGGAAGTTGGGCGTACTGATCATATCTATACCGTTCGACAAATTCTGGGATATAGACGTACTTACTGGCATTCGACACTTGCCATATTTCTTCACTTAAAGGCAACATTCAACTATGTCGTCTGAGAGCTTCAGAGTCAATGTCTAGTCGTAAAGGGAGTGACGAGTAAGTATATTGCATTAATTGAGGCACTCTACCCGAATTAACGCAGCCGTATAAGGGCTTACAGAGAGTTTTCATCTGAAATGATGACTTAAGAATTGATTTGTTACCACAGTACAGTTATGTGAACTTAGAATATGCGCATGATATTGTCGTTCTAGGTGAAGACTCTGAGAAAATGTAGAGTTCTCTGAACAGAATACGCAGAAATCTTAATACGTTTGGCAGCGATTCGCCCCTATCAAATATAAGATGATGCTCTAGGACTAGTTTGCATTGGTTCCTAGTTTAGCGATAGGGAGTGAAGTGTTAAAGTATGTTGACCAATTTACTGATTTTGGCAGTTGTATAAGCCCTGAAAGATTGATTACTGTCGAAATCTCAGCACGAATATAAAAGACTCATGTCGCATTTGCCAACTTACGTCATTTTTGGCACAGGCGTGATATCCGGCTATCGACCAAAGACCATGTGTATTGCACAGCAGTTAGCTCCATCCTCCTTTATGGGTGTGAGGCATAGGCAGTGAGAGTGTAAGATATGAAAAGGTTAGCCATCTTCAACAACACGTTTGCGTTCTATCTTGTTAAGTGGCATAATACGGTCAGTAATAATGAGGTTATATGCAAGAAGTTAGGCAGGGAAGGAGAACTAATCGATCAGGATGTGAACTTATTTTGATTGATTTGGCTAAGGTATGTGTTGTGCGCATGTCCAGTCACCACCTTCCTTGAAGGAAAATGTTAGCTGACACAGGATTAAATTGGAAAAGTGTTAGGAGTGGTAAAACCAAAACCTGGCATCAGTGCATAAAGACTGATAGATTGTATGAGCCACATAGGGAGGTGTAGAGTGCCTGGTTTGGGACGTTGAGATGCTAAGATCCAATGGCTGGAGACTGTTTGTAGCATGGCTCAAAACAGTTCTAAATACTGTAGATGCATTAACTCTTTATAATCTTCCACATCCATTAAATCGTTGTTCTCCATGTCATTATTCTCTTTTCTCCTGCATACTTCCTACTCATAGTTA